AGAACATACATTTTTACAGTTAAAAATGCTAGAACTCCTTGTTTTCTTGATTTTCTCAAAATGGCAATTTTGTACACCCTGCATGACAATTCCAACAACATATCGAGAAGTATCACAGATAGCAGAATAATTCTTTTTGCAACATGAAGCTATATGTTCGGAGCACACAACATAGAAAACAGATTTTAATTTATTTTGATGCAAGTTTTTAAAATTAGTCTTTTATGTGACCAAAACATGGCCACATTCAGAGCTATGAAGTTTAGCATACAGTTGAATCCCGCTACAACGAAATTGACGGGGCGGGCGCAAAATTTCGTTATCGCGGAAATTCGTTGTCGCGATATGATGAAATACATACGTGACATGGGACTTGCTGAAGCAAAAGAACAAGCTTTAATGCCAAGCGATGGCACAACACGACTTTCGCACGCTGCCAGTAGAGCCATTGCTTCATCGTCGTCCTGTGACCCGATACAACGCCTGATGATATCGAATGCGTCCAGCACCTGTGAAGTCGGTGGTAGTGCGGGATCACGTTGCGTGATTGTGTCATCATCGTCCGACGAAACACCATCTTCCTGGACGCTCTTTATGATGTCTGCGTCCGTAATTTCCTCGCGCACCACCAAGCAAGAGTCGACTTGCAAGAACTCGCTGATATGTACGTCGGCGGGCACATCACTTTCCTGCAGGTCTGCCCAAGCGACTGCGATTTCTTCGTCCTGGTCCAGCAACCTGTCCTCACCGCGGTCTGCGTCTCCATCGTAAGCTTCAATCGCAGAATCGGAAGTCTCAGCGCACTGTACTGCGAATCCGGCATGGCGAAAGCAGTTCGCGACTACGGCGCTCTCGGTCTCAGCACCACGAAGCAGCGATCATTTGGAGCGCCATGAACAAGTCGATTTTCGTTTCACGACCCAACCGAGTGTTCAAAATCAGCCTTTGGATAAGGCGCTTGCGGTACGCGCACTTGACGCTTTGGATGACCCCTTGGTCGAGGGGTTGAATGATGGACGTGCAGTTCGGTGGCAAAAACTTGAGCTGCACGTTCTCGAGCTCCGTGTTTTCAATAGGAATGTGCGGAACAATTGTCTAAAAGCAGACAAACCTTGCGGCCTTGCCTGCCCATGTCCCGGTCGAATTCCTCGACCCACTCTCCAAAAATTGCACGGGTCATCCACGCCCGGCTGTTGGCCACGTTTTTCACTGGAAGGCGCCGATTTCCTTTGAAGCAGCGCGGTTTTGCGCTTTTGCCAATGACCAAAAGTCACTTATCTGATCCGTCCATATTGGCCCACACTAGCACGGTGATCCTTATCTTGCTGTGTTTACCTCCTTGACAGCGCAGCCCCTTAAAATCCATGGTCTTGTTCGGTAACATTTCGTAGAATAGACCGGTCTCATCGGCATTGTATATGTCCGATGATGCATAGTCCTTAAGGATGCTTCCAAGGCTGGCCGACATCCACGCGGCGGCGCAGTCTTTATCCGCCGAAGCGGCTTCACCACACAACACTATGCCGATGATGCTGTGGCGGGATTTAAATCTGTTTAGCCAACCTACGCTGGCCTTGAAATCATCAATGCCGAGCATGCAGGCAAAATCCAGCGCCTTCTGCCGTACAATATCGCCGCTAAGGGCAATTTTCTTGGCCCGCGTCTCCACGAACCAGGTGTAAACAGCCTTGTCTAAGGCTTCGTGCACTGGCTGGGTCACCTTCTTATGCTTAGCGGACGTCCCTGAAGCTAGAGCTTTGCCGATCGCGTCCTTGCTCTTCAATATAATTGACAGAGAGCTCGCCGCAATCCCGAACTCTTCAGCGATGAGTGCCTTCTTCGTTCCAGCTTCAGCCTGTGCGATGATGCGAGCCTTGTGTTCGAGCGACAAAAACTTGCGCTTTTTCGCCGGCTGCGCCATCGTTGATCGCGTTACTGCACCTTCGGGAACCAAACAATGACCAAAGCGTGCGATCGCTCGTTGTGAAGAAGCTAGCCCTAGTCAAGCCGCCGGAAGCGGAAGCCGTCGTCCGAACGCATCGTCGCACTCTACCAGGATTCGCCTCGCATCTCCAATTTTGTACGTACGTACACATAAATTGAAAATTTCTGACATTGAAACCATTCTCACAAACGTTATAAAAATGATTAAAAATACTATAAAAATCAAATTAATGCGTGTTGTTTGTACACAGACACGATTCAAAACGTTTCCGACGTTTCTTCTGAATCTACATGAGAGCGCGTTGCATTGATTGCATCGCCATCACTATCCCGGTATGTATGGCGGCTTCGTGTTGTTTACATTGCGCAGCGAGTCACCGTCGCACCCAGTATGCACGCTCTGAGCAACATCTTGTGTGTGTGTTTTTTTTTTAAATGTTATTAAGGTCCATGGTTCGTCAAGGCATTAAAACACTTTTGAGAATTTCAATAAGCTGTAATTTGAATAATTTTGCTCGTGCCTGTCCCGCAAAAAACTTCGTTGAAGTGGAAATGCTGCCGTGAAGTAGTTCGTATTGGAGGGAATTTCGAAGCATTATACCCTATGGGACATCGACGGGGAATGGAAAAACCTTCGTTGTGGCGGAAATTTCGTTGAAGCGGACTTCGTTGTGCCGGGATTCGACTGTACTGTAATGTAATAAATAATGACCCAATCAAAAAATTGCTTCTTATGTTGTGTGTCGTATGCTTTCTACTGTTAACCATATGTCATTTGTAAACGTTTGACTAGTGGTTATTTTTATATTGTGGTAAGAAAAATAGAGATTGTTACCTTGATTATTTAATGACCTAATAAGCTACAGAAAAAATAACATTTTTAAAACCAGGAAAACAAACTAAGTAAGCATGCCAACTCTCATCATATTCGGATAAAAAATAGATGAGATATCCCATAGACCCATGTCCCCCCTTAACAGTGAAGCTGTTAAAGCTGGCCGTAAGACGTTCATCAACAACAAAAATAATAATATTATATAAATAAAACAAAAACCTGCTGCACTATTACTATAGCAATCCACACAGCCATTTGTCACCTGTGCTGAAAACCATTGAGTCGCGGTTAAAAGCGAACTTCGCTCCTTTTAATAGACCAAACTCGTAAATAATTGTGTGTTGTATCCAAAAGTCTGTTGTACGTGGATATGTTATAATGAGTGTCGAATGTATAGGTTTCGGACTTGTTCGTTTTTCCGGATGCACTCAACTACAGTTTACTTCAGTGGGCTCACCCATGCAGTCTGCTTGTTTTATGGAAGTGCGGACCAGTTTCCTTGTTGCAATTGAGTTGCCGCTCGACTGGTCAATCAAAATCTTATTCGGTAAATGTCAGTCTGTCGTAAGAGGAATTGCCGTTGATTATGAGCGAACGACATTTCAAAAGTGTGCACTGTGGCACTATGCTGCCTGGGTCAAGACTGACTTTTCTCCCTCCGCGTTTCTACTTCGTGCACTTGTTTTTGTACATCTGTTAACTAAACAGACATTAATCACAATGCATAATTTTTTATTAGTTGTATAGTTTTTTTTTTAATTTATCTTGCTGTTACCTACCAAGAATCACCTATATGTAACAACACACAGAGCTTCTAGTCACTTTATGGACAACCTAAAAAATTACTACTATTTTATGAAGTATATTTGCCTGAATAATTTGTCGGCAACAAAAAGAAGTTTGCATTAGGTGTGTAAACGGCGAAGCTGGCCGATCTTGAGGGGGCTTTTAATTGACGTGGCATTTCCTTGCCTCGACGTAGACCAGTGACGTAACCAGGGAACGGCACACTAGGCCCGTGCAACCACGTACTCTGGCGTAGTGTGCTATTTTCGTGTACTATTCCCCCTACCTAGAATTTTTTTGCCATGGCACAAAGGGTGGAAAATGACCATTTCAAGGAGGTGCCCCTCTGCTGACGGGACAGTCACATTATTCATGCCGCGACCAGCGAGTCATATTCGTCAAACCATCTTACCCTCACATACTAATTTCAGTTTACCCCATGTTAAAGGTGTGATCACAAGTGCACCCAGATGTAGGTGGCTAGACAGATATACAGAGAGACCCGCTAAAATCGCCCGCAGTACACTAAGAAATGCTCCACATTTAGAAGAAAAGTGACATGAACCCTGGTGGGTCTGCATTTGGCAAAAAAATTCGAATTGAAAGGGTTACGCACAGCTGGACACGTGAGCACCCAAAACAATGATGCGCTCGCCATGCCCGCTCATTTTGCAGCTGAGGTACAAATGAACTCGTCGATCGTTCTACTAGGGCACGTCACACAATTAGCGTTCAGCGCCAACTCAGGAAGTGACCGCTGCGTCGACGGTCATCACAGAAGTGTAGCCAAAACGACTACGCCTTGGGGGGATAACACAGCCAACGGCTTTATTTTTATGGGCGTAACTCCAGAGACCAAATCTGAGGTTGACTGGATGACTAGACCTGTGGGACGTTTCGCTACAGCACTTAGGGGAGCAACAGCTGCCCAGCGAAAAACAATAAAGCTTGATTCTCATGTGGCGAGACTAGGCATCAGATGCACTAGGTGCATGCTCGTTAGAGACAACTGCACCACATGTTGTTCAGTATGCTTGTTTGTCATGCTGCCGATCTAGCAAAATATTTTCAAGTTTGCACTGTTTTTCTTTATAATGTTTCGATTTTCATTCAAGCAACAAGAAATGCTTCAAGAGAAAAAGAAAAAGATTGTGCTCGCTCCACGTAAACGTTGGCCTTGGATTCAATCCCAAGTTTCAACTAAAAAACTTTCCAATAGGTTTTCCAAAGGTTTTCTTCTTACTTTCTTCTTAACTATGTTAATTTTGGAAGAATGTAATTTTGCACTCCGATAAACTGCTGCAAAGAACTTGTTAATAAATAGGAAACAATTGGAACCGCTGTATTATTCGCAAGCAGCTCAGCCAGCTCAGGTAAAGCCTATTTGAACGCAAACACAAGCACACATGCCCTTTGTAACAATGCAACCACGTACCTGGGAAGTTGGAAGAGAGGGCCAAGCGGACTAGGGAGCTGACGTTGTTGGAGCCCCGTGAGAAAAGCGACCCTCCACCGGCCACGGCCGCGCTCACCGCCGGTGGAAGGAGCGCTCCAGCTGCGTTGGCCGCCGAGGATCCACCGCCTCCCGCATTGCTGCTGCCGGCGCGCCTCACGGCCGCAAACGTCTCGAGCAGCCCGGCCACGGACTCGTTTGTGTGGCCCAACGTGAGCGACAGGTTTGGCACAGACACGCTCATGCTGTTTGAGGAGCCCGTGCGGCTGGCCTCTGAGCCAGCACCGCCTCCGGAAGAAGGAGCCGCGCGGCCGAGGTGCAACAGAGAAACATCGCGGTGACGGCCACTTGTCTTCACGCTGGTAAAGGAGACCGACGACGAAATGCCAAGTAAATTACCGTACCGACACCATAAAAATTCTACCTCAATGAGTTGATGTTGTGGGAAGCTCAGAGTACATCTTCGAAGTAAGCTTGCCCATATAGCTGGCATTTTGAGAATGTCAGCACTTATTGCCAGTAAAAGCAAAGCTCACAATGTACCATGCCCCATTTGAATCAATACCTCGTTAATTCGAAGTGACTGGCGCCGCCATAAATCTTCGAATTAAGTGGGTTTTTGAATTATTGAAAGACACAAAAAGTGGAATACAAAAAACTTGAAATTATTCGAAATAATCAGGGCTGGTTTCACGCCTGCGAAAAACGAGACATCTTCACTGCAACACAGTAAAGTAGAATCTTGACGGTACGAATTCGAAGAGAGCATGCAAAATATTCGTATCACCCCGAATTCATATGAACCAAAAGCAAGTTAAGGCCTACCATGTGGATGAACAAGAGCTTTATTGGGGTCAACTTCCACTTTTTGAAAAAAAGTCCATGATTGAACTGTCCTGCTTTCACTGCCTCTCAATAAAGTGCTGGGGTTTTTTCACTCGTGCTGCTGGCACTATCAGGCGCGTTCACCATTAAAGGGAGTGAAAGCAATAGAACATCGCCAAAACATTTCAGTCGACGAGTCGACCTTTGTTTTTTTAGAATTTATTTTTTGAGCTGGAAGTATAAAGATTGGCGTACTTCAGCTTCCACTCATTAGTATTGCTACAGCACAGTACCTAATGGCGCTTAAGGGCTGTCGTTCCGGCGGTTTTGTGGCGAAATCTCGATGGGGAATTGGCACACTGCACCTAAAGCTTTTGAATGAATCAAACTGGTGCTGACCCCTGCTTCAGATTATCCACTGATACATTGCAAGATACAGGACAGCGGAAATACTTCTGATTAAGCAAGATTTTGAAAAAACAGTTCAAATTAATGATGTCTTACTGTACATGTCAAAAAACTTCATGTTTTTATTGTCTTTAATTTTTCACACATCATAAGTCTGTGTTGACACTTGAACCTCATTATAACAATGTTACATCTTGCAAAAAAATAAGTTTGTTATATCCAAAACTTTGTTACACACTCAAACCTCGATATAACGAAATACCAGTTATAACAATGTATTTGAAAAGTTGTTTTACAGTATATTTAATGTTGGGAACAGAACATTATAACGAATTTTCAGATTTAACACACTTATTTTCATGTAAGATGCAACTTTGTTATAATGAGGCTTGAGTGTAGCCGATATTTCGTTATTTCCGTATTCGTTATACAGTCGCATCTCGATAATTCGAACTCGAAGGGGCCCGAAAATTTGTTCAAATTAAAAGAAGTTCGAATATATGAAAGCTAAGTAATCAGAGGACTCCCCATGCAGTGGCGCATGTGCATTGAGCTAACACACGAGGGGGATGTTTCAGAAGACTTACATATATTCACAAATCATAGGACATCCATCATTAATTGAAGTGATTGGTGATGCACAATGCACACGTTTGCCTTGCAGCGAGTCAATTTCGCACACAGCTAGCAAAGCATTTCTACTTCGGCTTCAGCACCCTCCTGGCAAGAGAAGTTGCGTGCGAAAATGTCCAGCGCGGACACTTTCTAAAGACGGCGATAAGAACGACTGCTGCGTAGCAGAGCCTCCCGCTCTGCGCTGCGCATCCGCAGCACGGCCAGCACGTGATGAGAAAGGAGGGGCGTCTCCATGCGGAGAGAAGGAGATCGGCGTTTGAAATAAACTAACACTCCACGCAGGTCTTTTTTTTTCTCTCTCTTTGCGCACAGCGTTGGAAGGAGAAGGGTCTTTACGTGGCAGGGGAAGAAAAGGGAAAAACGTGGCAAAAGTGCATCGCAGATCCGCATTTAAGGGGGGACATGGGTCTTTAAAATTTTTTTTCTGTTTTTGGCTCAATCTCGACCAAACCTCACCATCTTGAACAGTTTTTCATGCTGATTTCAAATATGTAATTGTTTCTGAAATAGCTTCAGTGGATAAAAAGATATTAACATCTGTAATTTAATTAATTATGCACTTCATTGGGGGCTTTTTGGCAACTTAATCAAGCCAGATCCAAAAAATAAATGCATAGCCCCAATGCTGAGGGCTTTCTGTATGGGGTGATGCTATTTTTATTAATTTTTAGGCATTATATAGATAAGAAAACAGACCAGCACTTACAATGAATATTCTGTTCAATTTTCGCTCATTACTATCCATAATTGTACAGTATGCTTCTAGAGTAATCAAAATAGCATCACCCCATAGGTAATGTTACTACAAATAAAATGATACCGAGTTTGTCATTCTCAATCAACAGTAACATATAAGAAAAACCTCTAAAAACATTCGAACTGAGACATTTAAAGTTTCTAATAACTAACTTTTGCTAAAGTGAAGCTAGAGCAATAAAAATGGCACCGTTGTATAGCTCTACATTATGTGAGTATGGCTGTACCAAATGTGTCAATGCACCTTCCCAAAATATTTGCCACAGCTCATTTAAAAACTGTGTACTGGCCGTTGAATCAGTATAAGAAACCCAGTCTACAACTTTGTGGCTGTTCTAGTGCACTGAAAACCAAAGGAAGACACATGTTATATATAAAAACATCGCCCTTTTATACATAAAACACTATTTCAAGTAAAACACACATTTTTGTCCCAGACATCCTTCATCAATGCGCTGCCTCGGCCATCTCCGGCGTTCTCGGCGACGCGCAGGCCGCTCCCTTCTGACGCGCATTCCACGCTCACTTTCGTTTCCTGCCGAAAGCTTGACGAGTGTTGTTCTTCAGGCGAGCTTCCCAAGCCATGCCGGCGAAATGCAGAAAGACGTATACGTCGGCGACGTCGGTACACGAGCGGGTAGCAGACGAGATAGCACGCACGAGAGCAGGCGCCGACGGAGCAAAACCAACCAAAAAAAAAAAAAAAAGAGCGAGCAACTGTGGCCTCGCCGCCTCGCCAGCCAATGGTAAGCACGAGACGGGGGGGGCTCGCCGGCGCGCGCGCGCTCTAGCCAATCAGCGGTTTGGCAGACGGCTTCGCAAAACGGGGGAGGGCAGTCGTGTTGGAGCTACGCCATTTTGAGAGCCCTCAAAACGCGCACAAAGGAACCAGCTTCAAAACAAGCCCAAGATGACGCCGATCCGCCGGCTGCTTCGCTGGCGGCGCGCGCGGGAAGTTCGAACAAATTTTCTGTTTTGCGGGTTGTTTTGCGACTCCCGTGATGGTTTGAAAATAGATTTTAACCTATTTTTTTATCAAATTTAGCATTAATAAATTGAGGAGAGGTGCTTATAGGTTCAAAGATTCGAAAAATGCGTTTTTCTCAAAATCGATTTTTTGGCCATTTTTTACTTTTCTAAGACCCGCGTCCCCCCTTAAGAGAGCGAAAATTCTGCCACAGCCTTTTTTTCCTTTTATTTTCCTTTTTCGCGCAGCATTGAAGCGTCGAAGGTGCCACCGCGGGATCGGGCAGGGTGCTGAGAGCATTTTCCGAGCGCAGTATATTCGAATTAGTCGTCGCAAGTGCTTGCGCGTTTGAATTACCGGGCGTTCTCGTCCATTGAAATACACATAGCTTTGACGGGATCTCATCTTGAGTTCGAATTGACCAAAAGTTCGAATTAGGCGTGTACGAATGAATGAGATTCGACTGTACTGAGGTCCGATTGTACTATATCACAGACACGCGCGAGTGTAGGATGCTTGATTGATTGATTGATTGATTGATTGATTTGTGGAGTTTAACGTCCCAAAATCACCTTATGATTATGAGAGACGCCGTAGTGGAGGGCTCCGGAAATTTTGACCACCTGGGGTTCTTTAACGTGCACCCAAATCTGAGCACACGGGCCTACGACATTTCCGCCTCCATCGGAAATGCAGCCGCCGCAGCCGGGATTTGAACCCGCGACCTGCGGGTCAGCAGCCGAGTACCTTAGCTACTAGACCACCGCGGCGGGGCCGAGTGTAGGATGCATCGTCAAGCCACTATTTAGTGGCTGTTTTCAACTCCTCATCTACGTACTCATGTATGCATGTCCGGAATAAAGACTTGCACTCTAAAACTAAGTTAAGATTTTTTTTTTCTGCCACATATACAACCCAATTTATCAGGGATGGCATAGCAGTGAACTCTTAATGATAGCAGTTGGCAGGGTTTTACATACCAAAACGTGTGCATTTTATGCTAAAAATGCATGCGCTTCAACTACTGAAGGGCTTGAACTACTGGTGGGGGGAAGCTGAGCCTTCGTCAGGTGCATTGAAACACCTTTAGTCTTAGTTTTCCTGCTGTGTGCAGTGTATACTGTGAACCAAAAGACAAGCTTTTTCTATTTCTGTTTCCAGAACCATGGTATAAGGCAAGCCATTATAAGGGAAGTCTGAATAAATTTCAACGACTTGGGGTTCTCGCATGGCACAACTAGAAGGGGTGCACAAACCTGTGGCCCGTTGATGTCGCTGTTGAAGTTACGCCAGCCGTTGAAGCGGGCGGCTGAGCCGTCGAGTCCTCAGTCTCGGGGTCTTCCATCGTAGGTGACAGGCTGTTGAGTGGCGCCTGCAGCACCCTGGCTTGACTTGAAGTGGCCGGTACGACCGGCAGATCGGGAAGGTCTTGCTCCGAGCCCGTCGTGGCCAGCGCAGCTTCGGCGCGGGCGCGGATGAGCATGTTCTCGGCCATGGCCTCAGCGGCTGCCTGCAATGAAAATGGGGCCGAATCGATCGGAAAGTCAACATACGCGGTTGGCCTGGAAAGTCTTGATGTACGTTGAAGCACACAACAAAGCAAAATGCTCAACAAAAATACGACACGCGCTGCTGCTACCAAAAGCTCAAGCGGATTTCAAGATCTTGAAATGCACAGAGGTATCTGAAAAGCCTATTTCAAATTTTCAATGCAAGAAATCTTGTAAACTAAACACATTCCCATTTCTTCTTTCACGTTTACAACCTGTAATCTTTAAGTTCAAATAATTGCACTACCCTTTGCTGCTTGCTAGTTGACAGCCCGGTTGTGCACAGGACCGGTGTTGTAATATGAATCTGCACAGACCTGGATGCCACATATTTGACAACCAATTTTTCACACTGCATGGTTACCATGATAGTTATACAGTGAAACCTCGTTAAACCGTACCCACGTAAACAGTGGTTTCGTTTTAAAAGTAGTGAAGTCAAATCCCCGACTCGGCGGCCATTGAACATAATGCATTTTGTATCTGCATAAGCCGTACCAGCTTATCGCGTATGTGTCGGTTAATAAGTACCGTATATACTCGTGTAAGGGCCGCACTTTTTTTTCGAAAATTTTGCTAGGTGCGGCCCTTACACGAATCAGGCCGATTTAGTACAGGCAGTACAGGCCAAAGGTCTGTACTGTTTATGCAACAGTAGCAGAGTGCAAGAGTCACAAATGACATGCCAGAAATGTTTTTATTCGGATTCCATTTCGCTGTCCTCGTTCTCGGAGGAGCTCGCCTCGGCGTCCGCGTCTTCCCAGAGACGGTCATCTTCGGTGCCGTTCATGGAGTTCGAAATTCCTGTTACCTTGAAGCTTTTAGCAACTACTTCTACTGACATGGCACGCCACGCATTCAAAATCCATTCACACACCTGTTGGAGCGACGCCCGCTTCAGCCGTCCTGTAGGGGTCTTCTCGTGGACGCCTCCAGCCATCCATTCAGAGTAACATCGGCGAAATTCCACTTTGAATGGTCTGTTGACGCATACGTCGAGCGGCTGCAGCACACTCGTCAGGCCACCGGGAATGACGGCCAAGTCCGTACGAGTTGCGGCAACTCGGTTCTTGACGCGGTCGGTCAAGTGGCCCCTAAAGCTGTCCAAAACAAGGAGGGCTTTCCGTTGTAACAGCCCTCCAGGTCTGTTTGCCCAGACGGTCTTAATCCAGTCAACGACCAGTTCCTCGGACATCCAGCCCTTCTCTTGCGCACGTACGACGATTCCCTGAGGGAACTTCTCTTTTGGGAGAGTCTTCCTTTTAAATACGACGTACGGCGGAAGCCTCCTGCCGTCTGCCGTGATGCACAACATCACAGTGCACCTTTGGCGTTCTGCACCAGTCGTGCGCACAGACACACTTTTCGCACCTTTTAAATCCACTGTGGTGCTTTCCGGTGCATCGAACCACACAGGTGTCTGGTCCGCATTCCCAATTTGGGACAGGTCGTATTCATGCTCCCTCCTGAGAGCATTCACGAAGCGATGAAACTTAATGACGTGGTCTTCGTACTCGCGCGGCAGTTTTTGGCAAATCGTCGTTCGGCGCCGAATAGAAAGCTGGTTACGGTTCATAAACCGCGTAGCCCAGCCCCGACTTGCCTTGAATTGTGCCGGGGGTATTTCCATGTGGCGAGCGATGCTGAGGGCTTTGACGCGTATCATGTCAGTCGATACGGCGTAGCCGTCCCTTCGTGTGTCGACGACGTAGTTGACGAGCTCGCTTTCGAGTTGCGGGTACTTGCACTTTTTCCCGCGAAACGCCTTTCGGCTCCTGTTAGTAGCGGCGAGGGCATCTTTCTGATTCATCCAGTAACGCACGCGCTTCTCATCGACGTCGTACTTTCGTCCAGCTTCCCGCTTCCCGTGCTCCTCGGCATAGTCAATCACTTGCAGCTTAAATGCTGCAGTGAATGATCTCAGATGCCGGCCCATCGTCCGTCACGTGCGCTGGCTTCTGCAGGGTTCACTACAACCAACAAAGTGACACCGACGACACCGATCTGAAGTCGCGCTGCCAACGTATCGACACGATGCTAGGAACGATGCCAACAAAGAGGCCGCACAAGGCAAATATGGCGGCGCGCTGTCAACAGCGTGGTCGGCGCGTCGGCGGAAGTAGAATAAAAGCGGAAAAGCGTGCAGCGCCATCTGGCTGTAAATGAACTAACTACACTTTTCTGGCGGGACATTTTGAACTTTTGTTTTTTTTTTTTCGAAATATCCGCTTTCAAAGTTGGGGTGCGGCCCTTACACGAGGGCGGCCCTTACACGAGTATATACGGTAGTTTTTTCCAATTTTCGTTGTGCACTCGCCGCGGCATGTCGTCCGCCACTGGGCGTCCCAACAGAACAGCAAGCCCCAGAGAACAAAACACGCCTTGCTTGTTTGTGTTGATGATGATGGCGGCTGTGTTGGTGAGCGCCATCTCTTGGATTTTTTTTGCAACAAGAAGCACTCGGCCGGCTAGGCTTCTGATGTTGTCCACGCGATGGCGCTTTGCACAAACACGCAAACACGGTGTGCGCTTGCTTTGCTTTTGTTCCTTTGGCGCCGTGCATAGGTGTTCTCTGGTTGATCCGTGCTGTACAGCTCTCGCGTCGTTTTTCACGTGTTGTGTAAGTGTGCTTGTGCTGCTTCGTACTTGCGTCATGCCGAAGCTGGGACAAAAGCATCGAATGCTGAAAATAGAGAAGAAATTACACATAATTCCTGCTATTGAAAGTGGCACGAAAAAATCGGTGCTGGCACGCGGAAAGGACCTGCCGTTAACCACGGTGTGTGGAATTGGGAATTCCAGAGAGAAGTTGCTCGGCAGTGCTGCTTCAACTGCAAAAAGGTGCCGGCTACGCGGTTCAGTGTTTTCGGATGTACAGTCGCCGACCGTTTATTCGGACTCGACGGGAACCGCCGAAAAGTCCGAATAATCGGGAGTCCGAAAAAACGGATGCACTCGAAAAAAAGCACTTTTATTGGCCCGATCGCCCGAAAAAACTGTCTATGCGCGTCTGCATACACGCACGCTTACGCGCGACCACGTCAGCCTGTACCTCTGCGAGTGTCTGGCCGTCGCTGTAGACAGACAACAGCATCGATATGGCCTGCGCTAAGTCCGCATTTGATGGCTGTGGTGCGGGCGGCGCGTCATCGTCGGAGTCACTGTCCGCCAGCGCCGGCTCGCAGACCTGACGGACGATCTCGTCATCGTCCAACTCTGCGCAAGGCAAAACGGCACTGTCGAAGTTGGCGAACTCTTCAAACGTACCCGCCCCCACATCGACCCCGCTAGCACGAAGGTCGTCCAAAATGTCCGCTGCTGCGGTAGGCGGACTCTCAACCGCGGGGTTCTGGCCTGTGGCACTGTCCTCCTCAATCCCAGTAATAAATCCTGCGTGGCGGAAGCAGTTGTGGATCGTTTCCTGAGTCACTGACTTCCAGGCATCGGACAACATGCTGATGGCCGTCAGAACATCCACGACGTAGTTTTTGTTATTGTCGACGCATAACAGCACACGATTCAGGAGGCGCGACCGGTAATGAACTTTCAAGTTTTTGATCACGCCCTGGTCCATGGGCTGCAACACGCTTGTCGTGTTAGGCGGCAAAAACTCCACTGTCATAGCCTTCAAGTTGTCGATATGCCCATGGGCACCGCAGTTGTCGACGAACATCAGCACCTTGCGATTTTGCTGTTCGTACCGGCGGTCGAGCTTGCGAAGGTATTGTTCGAAGAGGTTTTGCGTAATCCACGCCTTCGAATTCGCTTCATACCACACAGGGAGTGATTTGACGCCTTTAAAACATCTTGGATTTTTTGATTTCCCTATCACGAGGAGCGGAAGTTTCTCCGTCCCCGTCATGTTGCCTCCTACAACAACTGTCAGTCGCTCCTTGCTATGCTTCCCCCCATGACAGGGTTCGCCAGACAAAGCTAGCGTCTTGTCGGGCAGCATCTTATAGAAAAGTCCAGTCTCGTCACAATTAAAGACGTTTTCTGGTGGATACTGGCGCAGCAGTGCGCACAGCTTGTCGGCGCGGTAGTTGGTCACGAGCGTTTGGTCGACGGAACCACTCTCGCCGCACATTCGCTTGAAGGCCAGGTCGTACCTTTTCTTAAAGTTGCGCAACCACCCGTCACTGAACTTGCAGCCGGTAATACCCATGCGCAGGGCGAGCGTCTCTGCTTTCTGTCTCAGCAGATCGCCAGACACGGGTATTTTCCTAGCCACCGTGGCACTCAACCACATGTTCAGCGCTTCTTCAAGCTGCGGGTGGCTGCCGTCCCGGAAATTTTTCTGCGTACCCGCGGACGCTTTCTCAGCTGCCTCCAGGATCTTAGCCTTCTGCTTGAGGTAGTCCGAGACGGTTTGCTTGGAAATGGAAAATTCCCGAGCAACTTCAGACTGAGGTCGGCCGCCTTCTACCTGGCGAATTATCTCCGCTTTCTTCGCCATCGTGAGCGTCTTGTAGCTCCCACGTTGGCCGCGTTTCTTCACTCCCGACGGCGCAGCAACGGGTGGCGTCGGAGCCATTTCAGCACGCCACGGAACACACAAGAGAGCGAGAACACAGAGAACAAGACGAACCAGGCCTACCCGCAGAAGCAACTGACTGACACCACTGACACGCTGACACAAACGCCAAACCACGCCAAACGCCACAGCGAACAAACTCCGTAAGTGGCTTGGCTTGGCCGCTCGACTGGCTAAAACCGAAAAAAACGTGTCGCCAAACATAGCCTTTGAGATCGGCAATGGCGATTTCTGCGTGCATTTTGACACTGGCCCGACGTCCATCCATAGCTAGTGCAGCATATCAGTGCTGGCAACCTAGCAAACGTATTGTTAACGTCCCTGTCAGCGTGTCATGGCGTACGGCGACGCATCCGGTCAGTCAAACTGAGTCCGAATAATCGAACGGCGCACAGCGGGGCGTCCGAATTTTCGGTCGTGAGTTTACATTAGGTTCAATGGGGCGAGTGGCGGTGCCACGAAGATGTCCGAATAAACGGGCTTGTCCGAATTTTCGGCGTCCAAATAAACGGTCGGCGACTGTAGAGGAGGCGCTGGTGAAGTGGCTAAAAGCTGCACGGTCAAAAAATCTGCCTATCAGCGGACCCCTGCTCGTGGAAAAGGCCCTGGTTTTTGCCTCGCAGCTCAACCATGACAACTTCATGTGCAGCAATGGCTGGCTGGCCAGATTTAACGCGAGGCGCGGCATTACCACGAGGACTGTTTCGGGAGAAGGCGCTGCTACTGACGTGGATGGCGCGGAGCAGTGGCAAAATGGTCAGCTGAAGAACATCTTGGAAGACTACGCCACCTGATGACATCTTTAATGTGGATGAATCGGCGCTATTCTTTAAGCTGCTACCAGACAAAACGCTCGCGTTCAAAGGCGGGACGTGCACCGGCAGCAAGCATGCAAAAGACAGAATATCAGTGGCGTTTTGCATAAACATGACTGGAACGGACAAAACTCCACTCCTCGTGATTGGAAAGCGGAGAAGAGGGGGCTGGCGGAAAAGCTGGCTCACAGCATAAGTGAGTTTGAGGCCGCTGTCGTTGCTGCTAGGCCGCCGCGTCGTCAAATGAAGACTACAGACTGTCATGTGAAGTTAATAAATTACTGCACGTTTTTTGTTCTTTCATCGCACTCCCTGAAGGTTTCTTTTTTTTTTTGACAGGTGAGCGAGTGACCTGACGCTATTTCGGTTAAGTACGTTGAGTACGTACTTTTTCCGATCTGCGGCCAACTACGGTTCAATGAGGTTTCACTGTAGTGAATCTGTGCCTGTGACAACCTCACAATTTCATCTTCATGCAAGGCTTTGCAATGCAACCCTATATATTTTCAATTTCAATAACACTTGAAAATCTCAAATATCATGAGTCAAGGAGGATAAACCTAACATTTCTATTGCAACACTACCTGACAACATTATTTCAAGCAACAAATAGGCACACAAAAGTCACTAACATAATGCTTGGGTGGTGCCTAACAGACCAGCAAGGTCACATCGTCTTTGTACATTTACGATTGCTTTGAACGTACACAAACGATAAAAACATAGCTTTTAAATGTGTGTCATTCAGAGGAAACTGTCACTGGGGCAGAGATCATGGGGTCCAAGCTCTCAATAAAGGTGACAGGTTTTCGAGGCCAGAGCCACAAAATCATGGAGGCTACCTATTTGCCTAGTGCAAGCAGCAACCGGATACCAGTATGGAAGCCGGAATCATGAGACTGCCACCAATCTGACACTGCCTAATGGCCAGCTTGCAAAGGAATACTCACCTTGACTGTGGTCAGGTTCTCAGCTGACACTGCCGTCTGCTGTTCCATCGGAGCCGCGGAGGAATCTGGGACTAGACTGGATGCCGACGAGCTCTTGCGGCTTGTCAGGCAGCAGCTCGCGGCAGGCAGGCTCCCCCTGGCAGCCACGCTGTCCGTGGTGACAGTCTTGGCTGGTCTGCCCGAAGCCGAGGACGCACGTGAGGCAGCAGCCGCGTCCGGGTCGTAGCCTGGTGCTAGCCGCAGGTCGTACTTGCCCTCGGCGCCCATGCGGTACGAGTTGGAGCCACCGTGGTCCCAGGTTACATCGATCCATCCTTCAGTATTGAGAACAAGACGACATGCTCACAGACTCCGACCCATTTCCTTTCTTTTACATGGCGTCAAGCTGATGCACAAACAAACAGCAAGACATTTGTGGCATAATGACACGGGGTAAATGCAGAAAGGGACAGCGACAAGCGCGAAAAGAGGGGACTGAAGAACTATAAATACAGTTTAACCCTGTTATAAAGAGAGATGTTAATTTTAAATTGATTCTAGAATATTATGTTGTGTTTTCGTATTCCACTCCTATGCTCTCCCTGGGTAAAGACTGACAGTATCTGTAAAAATAAAGAAAAATGAAAACATGCACCAGGAAGCAGTTATAGTCTCTTACATGGGGTGCCACTTATAAGTAGGGTACCAGGTTCTCACATTCTGATCAACCCCTACGTTTATGTAGGCAGACTGGCATCTTTTATGCCCATTTGTCTTTTACATCGTTGCCGCTTATAAAGGGGCCCGACTGTACAACTTAGTAGGGGTGGCAAATCGGGCTAGCTCCACTGCATGATTTTGTCACTCATCACCAGTGTCCACTTCAGTTTTTGCAATTTTTTTTTTCTTCGCAATCATACTAAATCTGACGCAGTACCAACGGCAAAACCGCTGCCCAAGACATTTCTGGCGACAAAAATCTTGCTATTACATGTGCAAGACAACAGCGATCATCTCACACTGCTGTAGTCATCGAATTCGACAAAATTTGTGTTTTACATGCCAAAACAATTACGTTACTACAAGACACCCCTCAGTGAAAGAATGTGGATAACCTCGCATTTTGCCCCCGCCATTATTCGACCACCGTGGCCAAAACTTTAGCCGCAGGGATCAGCAGCTAAACATCTTTGTAAGGTTTGTTGAGAATCACAGCTGTAGCATGATTATCAAAAAACTGAAGTGCTCTTATAAAAATTTAAATATGAGAGAATTGACAGAAATGCCAATACACTTAATAAACCCCTATAGAAAGACATGCCCAAGGGAGCAATTCTTGAATTTTGTATGAGATGTCTCTTATGAGCAGGGTACCACGTGTGCATTTCCTTATCAACCCACATTTCACTGTAGGCCCACTGGTGTTTCCTATACTGATTCGTCTCTTACATCAGTGTGTCTTGCAAAGAGATTCGACTGTACGGGACATTACTGCCAGCTTTGAAAACCATTTCGGTAAAGCAAACTTGTACTGGCCGAGGAGCCTGTGGGCCACTTCACTAGGGCACCCAGCAAGAAAACGCCGAGCACCAACTCTCTTAAATGGCCAGCTTGTCGGGAACCATCACTGAGCCGCTGCTAAAACAGCAGCGTCGCAGGACAGTAAAACCGACAGCATGATCTCCCATGAGCGTAACTCCAAACACCCATGATGGAAAGCTTGGATGACTTACTCATGGGCACCATGTTTCATACAAGCTGTTTCTGCTCTTAATTTTGGTCTATTGTTTTTATGCCTGTCTGTCACACGATTCAGCCATCCGGACAAAGTTTAAGTACTTCCAGAACACCCAACCATCTTTAACTGGTGGCTGCGTTTATACTAGAGAACCTTGTAAATCAAAATGAAAATATTACGCGTATCTTAGGTGCAACATCAATACATAAGCAATGGGTAGAGTTCCTTTACTAAATATACATAGATGTGCAATTCTAAAGACCCTAATGTTTCTTACGTTGCGCTGAAAACGCGAAATTATGCACAGAAAAAGCGGGTATTTCTTATGCTGCACAGAAAATGCACTGAAAAGCACTCTGCGGATCATATGCTGCCACCTGGCAGTGGCCCTGGGTTCTGAACAAGCTCATGTTTCCCGATGGCAATGCCAGATGGCGACCATATCTCATGCAGCACCTCCTCCATTTTATCAATGCCAGCCAGTTGATTCACCATAGAGAAGGCACTGTTCGAGACAAGGCAAAACATAAATGGCCACTTGGCCAGCAGAAGTATTGATGACACTTGCCGTGGAGCACACATTTATGCAGCCAATTTTTACTTGTTATGGGGGGATGTAAAGAGAACTTCATCTTTCATTAGACAAATCTCATAGCAGTAGCTGGCACTGAATAATGTGTGATCACTGTTACCAACGACATAAAACATTCAGCGGGTTGCCAAAGTACGTGCGGGACAGTACCAGTTAGTTGAGATAAGGACGCTGCTTACGAGTGCAGACAGTCAACGTAAAACAAGATTTACCGTTATCTCCCCACTATGTGGCAACAGTTACCAGTAGAAGTTCCATTTAACAAATTTCCGTTTACTGAGAGTCTACTGTAATTACACTTGTCTGGCACTAGCCAACACTAGCTGACATCAGCTCTTGTGTCGTCCGCACAAGCCAACATCATCCAGTGCTTATAAGAGCAGCTAGTATGCGAGCAAATATGGCATACCCGGATACCAAAGTCGCCATTCATTTGCAAATTGTGGGGAGTGCTGCAAATGTCACTAGGATACACTCTAGCAAATAATAAGTTTTCTATGACAGCTCAGTCCTGTTGTCTTGTTATAATGAAATTGACAAGGAAACCCTCTGCCACTAAAGCGCGCCGCAGATCGCCAAGTTCAAAGCCATGACAATTGCCGGCAACACACCATTGTGGAGCTCTCCGGTGACAGTGCCCTCGCCAGCAGGGTTGCCATCCTGGTCACGCCACTTCCAGTCGGGACCCCGCACCACTCGGGCCCCGCTCACCATCACCTTTAGCATTTGCTTGATTTGGCGGCGCTGACGACGCACATTCGCCTCGGCCTCCTTAGCTGCTTTGCCTGCAGCCACAGTGAGTGACCAGGAAATCTAAGTCACTATGTGTCCTTACTTACCAGGGTTTGGGAACATAGGTTATAGGCACGATGGATCCTATGGTGAATAATTGCATGTTAAGGTTCATTTGGCCTAATGTAACAGACAACCAATCCCTCCCGTGACACCAGCTTTCCATTTTCACTGCAGTGCCCAGAGGGTGCGACCTACTTCCAACTTCATGGATAGATGTGCTCACGCATGGTAACGAGGTGATTTGTAGTAGCGATGGCCTACTGCTGGTAACATGTAACGGCCTTAACGAGTATCAACTCAGTTGGCCATTTCTTCGGGTTTGGGTGTCAGTACCAGGAAACGGTCATCTGTTGTTCGTGTCATAAATAACTGATTCCCAATTAGGCGCTTTATGGATTGCAGTTTGCCTAAATCCATTTCATATGCCATGACAATCCTACGAACGCTAGTCACTCTCATTTGCTCTATTTTTAGTGTTGCCCTCTTGTTAGCTCTTGAAGTTATGCCTACAATTTTTTTCATTTCACTGCTCGTTATGCAGTCATTAGCCCTCTCCAAGATTGTGCTGGTCTAAATATCAACCCGAAAAAATTAAAAAACATGTCACAGCCACTGACCGAGGTCGTCGCAGATGCCAGTTACTGTGCCGTAGATCTCGAATCCTGACAGGGACAAGTAGTGGGTCTGGCCAGAGGCGTTCTTGCCCGTCTGCTGGATGCGCACATGGCGCCATCCCTGGGTCTCCTCGGCCGTGCCAGGCAGGGCCCACGAGGCAGTCGAACCCGGCTCGTTCAGGGAGCAGTCATCCGTGTGGCTCCACAGAGTTGTCCACGTGGAGCCATCCTTGGAGACCTGGAACAGCCAGTTGCGAAGTGCCGACCTGCAAAACCATTTGAGCCCAGTCAGGGTCGGACCCATCAATGCAGCCTAACGGACAAGGCATTGTACATCCAGTGACTCAGTTTTCTCAAACACATAAACCAAGATAGACAAGTGCCGTGCAGAAACTATTAAAAAGGGAGACAATCTTCTTATTGTGCTTCGACTGTCATTGAAACTCCTCACTTTCTATTTTTTTTAACCCTGGAAGACACCACAGACTATAGGCATTGAGCGATCAAACGTTAGTTGAGTGCCGATTCCTAAAGCTTTCAGTGAAAAGTGCACTTGCCTGCCATAGCCCCTGGCATGCCTCAATGTGTAACAGTTGGGTATGATCCAGACACCCAGGTCGATAGAGAACCAGGCGCGCCTATGGAGAGAAAAGAGAAGCACAGCAAAACAATCTTCAGCGTATGATCAAAAACAATCGTACGCAAGATGAATCACTCATGTAACACGCATGTCCCATGATCAACGTGCATCTCCATGTTCACAAATAAAACTTTTCTAATGAGACGCAGAGCATAGGAAGAAAGGATGGGTGAGCAGCACTGTCTGAAGAATGCATTATCACTCAAGGGCATGTCACAGCCAATCTTGTGACTAACAATACTGAACACCAGCTTTTACTGAAACCTGCGACAGTTTTGGCTATGCCACACCGACCCAAATTTGCTGCATGGCTGATACTATGAACTGGACTGTAGGACACTCTGCTGTCCTTACAATGAGACAACACTGCACTGCCACCTCAAAAACACACTTACTTGTCGTCATTGGTGTGGCAGTTGAGGGCAGACGGGTCCCTGCTTAGAATGTCCTCCAAGTGGCCATACGGCAGGTTACGTCCTTCCGAAGAGGACACCACCACAAGGCCTACTTGGGCCGGGTTCACCCACTCGGATGACGTCCTGGGCAGAAAGAAAAAAAAACAACAACACCAGTTTAGTGTTACTTTTGCTGATTACAAGCGACAGTTACAAAAACTTCGGAGCTCAGAGTATTTTCCTGCACGTGTTACAGATCTCCATTCGTGCCTCCGACCAACAGTGCAAAGACAAGTGCTTTCTTAGCACATAGCAGTAATGAGAACAATGCTATTGCAACATATCATAAGCTTGTGCAACCACGTCTCTGCAATGGCCAGCAAATTTTAACACACAGTACATGAAGACATGAGCGCAACCTCTTTGTCACTTCATAGCCCCAAAGGTCGATTGAAACATCCAAAATGTCTTCCACTCAGAAATATGGCATCTACGAGCCTTTTTCAAGTCTTTTCTATATGTCAGCGTACAATCCTGCGAAAGCTTTTTGCAGTTTAGCGACAACGTCCAGGTTCAAAATGCCAAAGGTCTTAATAATCGTGTAAGAACGGAAGCCACTTTTATTGAAAGACTTTTTCAACCTGTGTGCGATGCTTGCCTCACAAACTAGCAGCAATGCCTAAGTGGCACTCACTGACCCTGTCTGTAAAGATCCCTCACGCCTATTTCCCAAAGGGTGCAGCACAGCTTACAGCCGAAGCAGAACCGATGCACTGATCGTAACCGAGGGTCACCAGCCCGTCAATGGTGAAGGCCATACTCACTTCCCATTGGTTCCAATCCAGTAGATGAGACCGTTCTCATCGAAGTCTCGAACATGGTTGAACACAAAGCGGGCCCCGGGTTCTTTGAGGCGCTTGACAAAGTTGAACGTCGAGCGATCGTAGTCGTACCACTGTTTTGCGACCTGACAAAAGATGAATCAAGCGTCAGTAGTGGTGACGGCACAGTAGAACCCTGCGTCTTTTCACCGCATTCATAAGACCTGGGGCTCTCGACTCGAAATACCATTTTTTACTGTTACACTTATTCAGCACTAACGAGACAGTGTAAAGCATAATGAGGCCTAAGCATTCAACAAATGGGTCCGATTCACACCAGACAAACTGGCCCACGTTTCTGCCCCAGACTCACCATTTTAACCAAATACTTCTCGAGCTGACCGACCGTCGTCAGCGGCTCCATTTTCAATCCCCGACCTGTTCGGTCGATCAGCGTCGTCTCAGCCGGCGCACGCTCCAGGCGGAACCGAAGTCGTCGCGTCAGCACCTGAAGTTCATAGCAAACAACTTCTTACACCTAATTTGTGATTATATCTGAAATGAATGTAAACTTTAAACTAGCCAGTAAAACAAAACAAAAAGCAAGGACACTTGAAAATTGCTAATGAAAACGAAAGGTCTATGCGATGCAGACACCTGCATGTGATGTATCTCTACACTTCTGCAACGAATTGAATCAATTTAGTGTAGAGACAATTAAAAAATGTCACCAATACTATCCAAACTTTTCTAGCTTTTATCATGCACATTAAATGGTTGTAGCCGCCCATTCGAAGCAAAAGTCAATTTGAGTAATGTCCAGACATGTTAGAGTGGAAAACAAGCGTACACAAAATGCCCTTGTTACCTGGAGACCGTAGCCAGAGCCAGGTGTGTCGTACAGGTAGACTGGCAGTTTCTCTATAGACTCCAGCACCATGACTAGTTTACGCAGAAGGGTCACAAATGGCGAACGATTCCTGCAGTAGCAATAAAACAAAAGGGGGAGCATGTCAAAGACAAGAAATGCTCATTCTGAACCTTTTCTATTTGAATTCCGATTTGACAGTGACGTTGCTCAAGCAATGTTTATCCTTGTTTTTTCATTGGCTGGTACAGGCGACCCTTGTCAGGACAAAAAATCGTTTCACTCATACTATCACTCCAATCGAAATTCCCTTTCGTGCAGACCATAGGTCAGCAGCAAAACTGGAGCTCACTCTGATTCACTGAAGAAATATATTTTCCCGACTCCAACTCACACTCACTACACTTTCCCACATCCAGGCTCACTTGCACTCAAACTCACTAACTTATCACTTGGCCGAACTCACCTCTTCACTAGAGTGAGTGAGCCCGAGTGAGTGGAGTCGCGAGTCTGTTAGTGTCAGGGCTTTTTAATGCCAATACCTCATGTAATCTGTGCTCCATGATAAGCCTTTATATTTTGTACCTTCAAGTACGAATTATCAGTGATTTCAATCCAGCAAAGCCATTCTTATTAAACGTAAAACTCTTGTGAGATATCTTTATCAAGAATATATTGATTGATATGTGGGGTTTACTGTCCCAAAACCACCATATAATTATGAGAGACGCCTTTAACAAGAACTGCCCCTGAAAGAGATTGTGGGGGAAAGTCATGCCCCTCTTCCCTAACTCAAGCTTCAGACAAACAAATATGAGGTAGCGCATTGTTGAGGTATCTATGAAAGGACTTGACATGAAACTGAAGCCGATATAATATTGATACTAATGCTGAAGATAAGTAGATAAGACCATAGATCGGCAATTAAAGGTGAAGCTTACTCAAGACTCACTCACAAAATATACAGTCGACAAACGATTTTTCGGACCCTCAAGGGACTGCGAAAATGTCCGAAAAAACGGGCAGTCCGAAAAAGCAAATGTGCCCCAAAAATGCTCATTTTATTGGTTACTATTGAGATGGAGGGCGGAAAAAGTGATCGATCCTCTTCTGGACCACGCTTTGCTTCCGTGCGAGCACGTCCGCCCACATTTCGGCTAGAGTTGCCGTGTCGCTGTACGCTGACGAAAGGGTTGCGATTGCTTGCATCAGCTCGGCTTGCGTCGGCTGTGCTGTTGCAGGTAAGTCGTCGTCATCGTCACTTTCGGACTCCGCAAGCACTTGCCGAACGATTTCTTCATCCGTGAGGCCAGCGCACAGTTCCAAATTGTTGTCCACACACGCAAACTCGGAAAACGAGACATCTGATGGAATATCGACGCCCGCAGTGCGAAGGTCGTCAATAAGCTGCTCGCTTCCCAACACGTGGTCGATGACGCTGTGCCCGTCCAAGGCGGCCGACTCGCCATTCAACACAAATACCGTGTGGCGAAAACAGTTGCGCAGCGTTGTCGATGCCATCAACTTCCACGCATCGGCGAGCATGCTAAGTGCCCCAAGCAAATCGACAGAGTATGCTTTTCCGCTGTCGAGGCACACCACCGCACGCAAAAGCTAGCGTGATCGATAGTTCACTTTGAGAGTGAGTATGACACCCTGGTCCATCGGTGGTAGGACACTTGTGTTCCGTGGCAAGAACTCGACGTGCACAGCCTTCAAATTAATAATGTGCCCGTGTGCAGCGCAGTTGTCGACAAACAACAAAATTTTGCGGCCTTCTAAATCAAATTTGTGGTCCAGTCTTCTCACATAGCTTTCGAAAAGCTCCCGAGTTACCCAGGCCTTTTTGTTGGCCTCGTACAAAACAGGCAGGGACTTTACGCCTTGCAAGCACCTCGGAGCTTGCGACTTGCCGATGACGAGCATCGGCAGTTATTCTGTGCCCGACATGTTACTACCGATCAGTACAGTAACTCGCTCCTTACTGTGTTTGCCACCATGGCAAGGGTCGCCAGCAAAGGCAAGTGTCTTTTCTGGCATCAGCTTGAAAAAGAGCCCTGTCTCGTCACAGTTGAAAGTATCATCTGGCGAGTACTCTTGTAAAAGGGACTGCAGCTTTTCAGAGCGGTAATTCGCAATGACGCTGAGGTCAACAGCTGCACTTTCGCCGCACAGTTTTTAAAACTGAGATCAAAGCGCTTCTTGAAGTTTCTTAGCCAGCCGTCACTGAACTTAAATCCTTCAATGTTCCTTTGAAGCGCCATCGTCTCAGCTTTCTGTTTGAGGAGGCTCCCGGAGACGGGAACCTTGCTGGCCACTGTCGACTTCAGCCAAACGAGAAGGGCCTTCTCGAGCTTAGGGTAGGCGCCTTGGCTGACATTCTTCTGACAACATCCAGTCGACTTTTCCGCCGCCTCCAAAATCTGCTTATTTTTGATGTAGTCCAAAATAGTCTGTTTAGAAATATGGAACTCTTTCGCAACGTCTGCCCGCGATCGGCCACTGTCAACGAGCTCGATGATGGCAGCTTTTTTCACCATCGACATGGTGACATACTTTCTGCGCTTCATCGAAGCTCTCGAGGCCGACGACATCAGCGATCCCTTATCCATTCTGAATCGGCGCTTGTAGCTAGGCAACACACATGGCACAGGCGAACAGTCAGTCGATTCGGTCCTGTCCATCCAACGGTCACAGCAGAGAAGAAAGAAATATTGTTTGGCAGCGACGCTGATGCGGAAATAGTCTCGATCCAGCAGTTCGAGGTAGCCACCCTAGCGGAGGCTGGCGGACGCCTCGCGCACGGCCAGCACCGGTTCGAGGCTACTGGATGAAAAAGTAAACAAGCAAGATCGCGGCCGCGCGATAAATGATGGCGGTCGGCTCGATTGACGCTTGGAAAGTCTGAAATATCAAAACAGCCCGTCCTTAAGTGTCCGAAATTTCAAGCTGCAAAATACATTGAATTTATAGCGTATGTCCTGGTGCCAAGTAAATGTCCCAATTATCGAGCATGTCCAAAAAATTAGGCGTCCGAAATATTGGTCGTCGACTGTATTTCACACTTAGGGCTCACTCAAACTCAGGCTCGCTAATATTTACCTTAAGGGGGGACGTGGCAAGTAAAACTAATTTTTTTATTAATGTACTGTTTGTGATGAAATTTGGTGTGTGTATGTGGATGATTGTGAGGATTTCAAATATGAAAACCGTTTTCAAATACCTCTCGTACTTTTTGAGTTACAAGCATAATTATACTAATTAATGCTCTTCACACTTAAAGAGATAATTATTGCTAAATGAAATTATTTTTTCATATTATTATGTTCCCAAAGCATCAACTTGTGCAAAGAAGCTATTAGTTGATTTTTCTAGTTCTTGTAACCATAAATAAAATTTCCAAAACATGGATGTTGTTTTGCGCACACATCGCAGTAATTATAAAATGTGTTCTAAAAATTTTAAATGATGAGTAAGAAGAGAGATAAAGCTTTATTGCACTGCTAAAGGCCTCCTGAGCCTAGTGCAAAAAACGGAACGACTCTATCAGTCTTTGTTAGAAAATGACAGATGTTCTAGCGAAGGCACATAGGCGAAAATCAAGAGTTGAGAAAACTGACTTTGAAAGTTCACTCTTGTTTGGAAGTTCACAACATGCCTAAAACACTCAGAATCCTCCTGGGCAGTAATCCTGAGATGCTGTGGCCTTGGCCTCTGTAGAGCGCAACCCAGTTTTGCGCTTCTTTGTCGTGGAACAATGCGCCTTTTGAGCCCTCTTTACCCTTTTGGCATCCTTTTCGGCTGCTCGCCGCAAAGAGCAGTCTCCTGGATTGAAGCCCAGTTGAGCAGTGATCTCTTGCAGCGCACTCTTGCAGCCACCATTGAAACGGCAGACTGCATCTGCAACTGCACTTTCCACACTTCGAAGGGAGGCGAACTGGCTCTTGGACTGGAGTGACCAAATGAGGCTGTTCATACTCTCCACAGCGTTCTGGGTTTTTCCCTGCGCACACCTTTCAAGGAGCTCTTTGTTCGAGAGGCGCTTGTAGATTGGCAGCAGTGCCACTCGCACGTGAGGGGGCAGTTTATGTTTGTGAGGCGGCAGCGGCTCTCCCTTGGCCAATGCCTGATTGTGCGGGCACCAGGAGTCAGTCCCACTTGGGCACAGGTTGTGGTGTGGATCCTGGTCTGTGGATGTTACATGGTAATAAGTGGCCATGATGGCCCTCTCCATGCCAGGAACATCGTTGGGGTGGCTCTTAATGGCCCAGCCATAATAATTCGTCAACTTCTTTATCAGGCCCTGCGTCAGCCGGCCTTTGCCACCCATGCTCAGTCCTCGGCCTTTGGATTTGTGCTCATCAAGAAGGTTGCGCAAGGAAGTGCCCATTCTTTTTTTCACATGGTTCACACACTCCTGTTTCTTAATCACCATGTAGCCATACACCTTGTCTTGCGTGAGGGCAAGGTACGTACGGCTGTCACCGTCGCAGAGCACATTGATGTATCGAAGCTTGTACTTGGTAAACGATCTTTCAAACATGATCCTAGCTGCTTCTACTTCCATTTGGCCTGCATTAGCATCGGTGTTCTTTTGGCACTGTGGCTTGTGTTTCTCAAGCCACTCCTCATAGTTGTCGTCACCAGGCTTGGGGCCAACAGCACAGCCTTGGCAGTAGTTGGACAGGACACAGTGGTCCAAGACCAAGCCTGTGTACAGCTCGATTACACAGCCCACGCCAATATGACTTCTGTGCCCCCTCGTCATCCACGTGCCGTCGTAAATGACGTCAATGTTGCCTGGCACTCCTCCTAGGTCCTTGTAAATGTCATGCACCTTCTGTGCACTTTCTGCTTCAATGCGGGTGGCAGCTGATGTGGTGGCAGGGTGGCTGTACTTCCTTTGCAGTCTCTGGTAGGACTTGTGGTGCAGTGCTCGATGCGAAATGTCCATCGCAGAAAAAATGTCATTTATGGCAGATTGTTTTCTGCCAACTGACTGCACAGCCCTCAAAGCACGCACGTTTACCTCAAAGGGGTTCGTTTTTTGTTGCCCGGAGCACCTAGGGGACGACCACGCACTGTTCACTCTGCCACAATTGTCACAAAAAAGTTCCATCCTCGCCGCGAGTCCAAGGCAGTGCGTAGTCTCGAGGCGTATCGACCCTTCGTCGCACTTGTTGCACTTTACTGACGAAAGCAGACCGTTCAGCATCTTCTTATTTACAATGAAGAATGTGGAGTCCTTACCGCCGTCATTTTCGTCGCAGCCTTCGTTCAGAAGCTCGAGCTTCCGCTTTGAAGCGGACTTCGATGCTACGGCATCCAAAACATCCCGCCTTGTCTGCGCCCGCTGCGCGATTTCTTCACTGCTCGGAATCTGGGCCGAAACTCGCGATAGAATGTTCGACGCGCGCACGCCCGGAGTTGCAACGGCTGCCGACGCGGTGCCACCGCAATCGGGTTCGCGAGAGCGTCCATCACGGTCGACGGCTTCCGGCGGTCTGACATACGACGATGTGGCACCTTCCACACTCTCGGCCTCAACAATCAGCGAAGGGTCTGAGTAGAGGCTCCGTGACGCTTGAAGAGCATGCTCCGTCCGGAACTGCGACTGGGACGGCAGCCGCAGTCGTCTGCCCTTTGTTCCAAGCTTTCCGACGCTTGCCGTACTAGTGGACGCTCCGGAACTTTTTTTGCGGCAACATAGCACCGCAGTATGAGCAAGCACTCAGAAGAGACCACCGATGTAAACAAAGCTTGGTAAAAAAAGCACGCGAACTATCACAAAAACAGCAAACTGGCAAAAAACGAAGCGCACGCCGGATGATTCTCGACACGGCGGCCGCAGATGCGCTCGCGCTTCCAAGGTTGCCAAGGTGCGCGGCGCAGCTTTGACCAGTAAGAGGTCGCGCCTGCTACCACGTGACCCGCGCAGCCAATTGCCGTTCTTCGTTTTCGTTTTTTTACTTGCTCCTCGCGCTTTTATTTTCACTCGGCGAAATACGAGACCGCGACCATCGGGAAGCCGGCTTTCTCCTCTTTCCAAAGCTACCAAAATGGCGGCCCACGGTCAACAACTTGGCGCGTTTGTGCGGCGTGAACAACACCGTTTCAAGGGCTTTTTTTTCGCACTTTTCGGCGACTAGCCTCGGCAAAAACACTATTTGCGGGATTTGTAGCGCACGTTTCGCTGTAATATTTTAGAACAAGGAAGTTGAAGGTCTGAAGATTACGAAAAAAAATAAATCAGAAAATCGCATATTTTGACCAAAATCGGCACTTTACTTGCCGCGCCCCCCCTTAACTAGACTCACTCGGACTCGCGAAAAGTTTCCTCAAGCGAAATGCCTTCGAAACAAGCTCCCCTAAATATTACTCAACCGGACTCAAGACTCGCAGCTCGACCAGAGCCTCAGTGAGTCTACTCATGAGTTTGCCAACCAGTGGTCCTGACCAAACGCCCGCATTTTAAGCCACATCACTAAAAGCACACTAATAGCTTGCACTGCTTGGCGAGAACAAGTGAAACCACACAAGACATTTGTACAATGCCGAAACTTGCCATACTGAGAGGCCAGAGTGGAGGGCTCTAGACTAAATATTTTGACAGCTCGGCCCGTGGGAAACTTGTTCGTCACCACACTAAGGCACCGGGTAAGAGACCCAAGCACCAACTCTCTGAAGCGACCGGCATGCCGGCAGTTGACCTCGTGGCGTCACCAAAACGGTGCTGCCTCGTGACAACAAAGCCGACAGCCTTATTTTCCACAAGCGTAACTCCGAGCAGCCATTATGGGCATACCCGGATGACTAACCTGTGGATTCCGTGTAAGTCAATTGCCACATAAAGAGAAAAAAAAAATGCTGGTTGCCTCCCGAGTCCACATCGTCATGGTATGTGGTGCAAGGTTCAGCCTGCGAGACGATGGTAACACCGGCTAGTCTTGTAATCAATGAACCACAACAATCGTTTCGGTGCAGAGAGAACAGAAGTGTAGCTGTCCTATCACATGAACATTTCCTCGTGAAAGGTAGTTTCCTCCCGCATTTCCTCCCGCAAGGGACTTCATAGATTTCTGCCTGAATTGCAATCTAACCCAACTTGTATCCCAACCAACGCGCGTTACAGAGAGCAATTCCAGCATCTTAGATCTAATACTAACTAGTCATCAAGAGAGCTTATCATCAATTACATATCTGCGTGCCGTCAGTGACCACAAGGTAATCCATGCGGCCTTTGCGTTTCGACCTGTAAAACGCGATCTTGTCACCAAAACAATCCGTCTTTACGACAAGGGCAATTATAGTGCCATCAATAATGAATTGATATCTTTTCTTCCTGATTTCGAGAGAATAAGCCATACACGCTCTGTGGATGCGAATTGGATTATATTTAGAGATAAGTTAGCCACTCTTGTCGAGAAATTTATCCCAAAAATAACGTTTACCGCAAACCGAAACAAGCCATGGTTTTCACGTACACTTCACAAACTAAGAAACAAGAAAAAACGCCTCTTCCGATCAGCCAAACAGTCTAAACTTCTGTCCTTATGGGAAAAATATTACGCCGCGGAAGATGATTATCTTAGAACCATTCGAAACGCCAAGCACGTGTTCTTTCATGAAGAGCTGCCCAAAATGCTTGCAACCAGCCCTCGCAAATTCTGGGAGGTGATAAACCCTCAGGAGATGCGCACCACTAGTCTTTCAAATGCGCATGGCGATATAGTCGACAACAATGAATGCGCGAACCTTTTTAACGAGGCCTTTTTCTCTGTTTTACGAATGAGAGTTCAGTTCCCGATTTTTCTTCACCTGCGCGCAGCACCGAGTCTATGCCCCCGATTGCATTTTCTACGGACGGCATCATTTCGATTATAGAAAAGATTAAGCTTTCTTCTTCTGCAGGTGTGGATGACATTAATTCAAAACTTCTCATAAATGTTAAACATGTGTGTGCCGCATACCTTACATTGTTATTTTCGCAGTCATTATCATCAAGCATTCTGCCAGCAGACTGGAAAGTAGGCAAGGTCGTTCCAGTCTACAAATCAGGTAACAGAGATTCTCCACTAAATTACCGTCCCATATCCTTAACAAGTATCCCCTGCAAAATCATGGAACATGTCATCTACTCCCATATCATCAACTTCTTGGACACAATGCACTTTTTTCATCCTTCTCAACACGGGTTCCGAAGGGGTTATTCTTGTGAAACGCAGCTGGCCATTTTCATTCACGACTTACATTCTAACCTTGACTGCAACATTCAGACCGATGCTCTTTTCCTGGATTTCGCCAAAGCATTTGACACTGTCCCTCACAAACGCCTAATTCTTAAATTATCTCTGTTAAATCTAGATCCTAATGTACTTGCATGGATAACATCTTTCCTGACTAATCGTTCCCAATTTGTGTTTGTTAATAATCACTCATCTAACCGACTACCTGTAACCTCAGGTGTCCCGCAAGGGTCTGTCTTAGGGCCTCTACTCTTTTTAATTTACATTAACGACCTACCATTGCATGTATCATGTAACTTTCGTATGTTTGCCGATGACTGCGTAATCTACCGATCAGTAACCAACATTCATGACCAAACACTAATTCAGCATGATCTTAACAACATACAAACATGGTGTGATCGTTGGTTAATGAACTTAAATCCTAATAAATGTAAGCTTGTTTCTTTTTCTCGCCACCGTAACCCTTTTGAGTTTACCTATTCCATCACTAATGTTCCCATACAATCAGTTCAATCATTCAAATACCTCGGCATCACCTTGGCTCATGACCTGTCTTGGCGTCATCACACTACTAACATCATCTCGTCTGCTAATAAATCACTCGGGTTTCTCAGACGACACTTACGCCATACTCCGCCTCACGTCAAGACGCTTGCATACAAATCATTTATCAGGTCCAAACTCGAGTATGCATCTTCCATCTGGAGCCCTCATCAATCATACATCATAAGTGAACTCGAATCATTTCAAAATCGGGCTACCAGGTTCATTCATTCTGCATATTCGTACGATATCAGCATCTCATCTCTAAAGGCGGAATCAGGTCTAGAAACCCTTGCTTCACGCCGACGGTGTGCCACCCTCTCTCTTTTTCATATGTTTTATTTCAGTTCACTGAATCATCCACCGTACATCACGCCCCCTCCGCACATATCCCATCGCACTGGTCATCCGTTACAAGTCGCATTACCACGTACCCGGACCACTGTATTCCAAGCCTCCTTTTTAGTAAGAGCAGCAAAAGACTGGAATGGCCTTCCTCACGCCATCTGTGCCATCACTAACCCATCTATGTTTGCAGAAGCCATTAAAAACACCGTTGTATAGTTCTCTTTTTTTGTTATGCACCACCCCTTATGTAATACCCCTACAGGGGGTCTTTAAGGAAATAAAAGTGAAGTGAAGTGAAGAATGTGTGCTATAACAAAAATGAAATTGTTGTACACTCTTGTCCAAACCAACACCTCCTCTAGTACTACACTATGTCTACTGATAAACAACACTGCAGTACACTTGGCTCAGCTGGTTTCACAGCCTTAGCCACATTCTACGAGTGCACCTACAAAACAACCCTACGATGAATTCACAACAGCAGGACTCACTCGTTGCCGTACGGTTTGTCGTGGAAGCAGTTCTTGAAGATGTGCACTCTGTCCTTGAGGAGGCGGTTGGCTCGCCAAGCCAGGTGGCCATTGCTTCCTTCCAAGCCCTGAAAGATTGGCAGAATCAATCAAATCAGTTCAGATCAATCAAAAAGCGACAAAGGGGACACAATGTTGGCCACTGTACTAAGGCACCGAGCAGGAAATCTCAAAAGCGCCAACTCTCAAAGCGGCCAGCGCAGTGGCGAAACGTCGCAAGCGTACCACCAAAACGGCGACGCACTTTGACGTCGTGCTCGCCAACTGGCGTTCTCTTCCACGAGTACAGCACCGAACAATTGTTCTGACATTGTCCGGACGGCAGAACCCGTGGGAATTTGTTTCATGCACCGTACATTGAGTGATTCATGCTTATCCCAGGATGTACCATACTTTCTCACGTACAACCTGCGATCTGCCATGCAATCCTAAATCCACCATGTCTGCACTCATCCCAAGTCCAGCCAGTGCAGCTTGTTGTCACTTGTTATCATCCAGAGTGTAGGGAGCCAACACAGTGCATTGTACCTTGGTCGGCATTTTTTTTTATTCCACTTCGTTACCACTCACCTGGTTACGGCTAATTCGAACAAGTGAACCAAGAATGCGAGACTCACGCTCTTTCCAAGCAGGCGAAGCAGTGCCTGGACCAGCCCGCTACTGTGCAACTCGTAGGCCGACACGGCCCGGTCGTCCTGCAGGAGCTGCACTAGTTCCTGGAGGGCCAGCCGCAGCTGACGTCCCCAGTCCGAGTGCGGCTGCAAAGAGAATCAACATAGTGAAATTATAAGACTTTACGTGTCAGAACCAGGATATAGTTGCCAGTTCTTTCCACGCCACCGCAGTGGTCTCAAATTTCATTTATAAAGACACGATCTTCTTTGAAGTGCACAAAAATTTAATTACACTGTGCACTTAGATTTTATCCTCACGAAAATGCCCCCTTTGGCAGGAATTGAATCCATGCCCTCCATGCCTAGCAAAGCAACCTTATAACAGAAAAAGTTGAATTAGATATGAAAAATATCTACACGTAAACTCGGACATCTTTGCAACGATGTTCTTTATGGCTATGAGGTGAAAATATTTTGTGATCTGTGGGTTCGTAAGTGAGCAGAAACTAAAATGAAGAATCTGTGTTAGAATACGCCCCATCCAGGTGTCTCCCCGCCTGCACAAGTACCGTATTTACACAATTGTAAGACGACTCGAATGTAAGACGATCCCCCCAAAATCGCCTCTCGGGGGAGGGGGGGGGGGGAAGCCCTTGGTATCCCTGCCTGAACAGCGTAGACACGGGCTTGCTGCGTGACCATTTCGCAGGTGACCAACAACGATCGATCGCGTAGGTCAGTCACGTAGGCCGCAAGCTTCGCCTCTAGTTCCGAAAAGCGGCCAGACTTCGGCCCGCAAAAGCCACGGCGCTTGGAGTCGCACGAGAAAATTTCCTCGCGCTGAAGCCGCCACTTCCGCACCACACATTCACCGATTCCGAACTTCCGTCCTGCTGCACAGTTGTTGGTTTCCTCCGCATGAAGAATAGCAGCCCGCTTAAACGCTGCCGTAAACGAGCGCCGAGTGTTCTTCGAGCCTACGGCACTCATGTCAGACAGAAATGACTCGAGAGAGCCGGTCGTGGACACAAGCGACAGGAGCACGCGGCTACGCGCCCGCTTAGAAAATTGTATCACAAAGAGGAGCTCTTCCGTCAACTACCAATACCCCCCTACGGCAGCTCTTCCATCGATTACCGGTGCTCCCTCAAGAGCCGTGCGCTCGTCATAAAGGCACTCGTAATGCGCGCAGTAGATGCTAAAAAAAGAAAAGCTTTTGTATAAGCACGCGGAAAACTATGCGCTTTGGGTTGAGCGGGAAACTATTCGAGATGACAATACATGGTTCGATTTCGATTCTAAGGTACATGGTTCGATTTCGATTCTAAGACGACCCTCCAACATTGGATTGTCAAATTTGAAAAAAAGGGTCGTCTTACAATCATGTAAATACGGTAGTATTTCTCTGGGTTTTGTCAGCATACATAGCTCGGGACGATACCCGCCGAAGCACGAATCGTTACCCATCAAACCATGATAAACACAGAGGCCATAGTTTTCAGCTTCGCTGGTTACTCCTCCGTAAAAATTGCTCGGGCGGTTATTTTCTTAAACATAGAACAGATTAATGACCAGCAACCATCTGTGGCCTCACCTCCTGCCAGCTGGAGAGCTGTTTCTGACAGGCACGGTCGATCTGGTCCACGATCTTGCACAACCTCGTCACCACCACCCGGGGCTGCGCCTGGGCACTCCGAAAGTGGGCGTTGTAGATGTCCCTCGCTTGCACCCGCACCTGCACATACATACACGCAGAGGCTTCGTTAGCCTCACCTAAACAAACCAGACATGTATAGGATGTTTGCAACCATGTAAACAGAAGTGCCAGATTACAGATGAGCTTGTTCATCAGCAGTACACACACGACGGATTGCATTAAAAATGAGCGTATGATGGCCCAAAACAGTCGAGAAACATTTAAAATGGGGCTGGTTCGTTGGTCGTGCATCATTATGGGATAACAGCACAGGAATATGCAAAGTGTGAGGTTCCTCCAAAGAGCAAGTGCGCTTGAAAACTACTCATTCATTCTTAAGGGTGGATGGCTACACTTCCCAAAAACTCTTATTGTTTCGTGTACCTCAGTCCAGTTTAGAGAGCTTATGTAGATTTTACTACTTATTTTAAAAATCGGACTCTTTTTTTTTTTTTTTTTGTGTGACAAATAGTTTAAAAGATATATTGAACTGCCACTTTTCCTATTAAGGGTTAATTAGCTAATTAACTGCAACTTGCACATTAATGTGCAACCCATAAAACCAATTCAGGATGTTCACAGTGTGTAATAAAGTATAAATAATTGTTCTGGGCGCAAAGCTGTGGGACGTTGATTATGACATGAAAAATTTCCCATCTACAATTGCACATCCCCTGCATTGATCTTCGAAACAAAAAAAAAATCATATTGATAACTCAGATAGAACAAGAGATAATGCTCCGGCATAATGGGAAGCACATGAAAATTGTCATTTTAAGAAATCAAGAAAAAACATGAGCACACATTTTTATTGCAGAAGATGCCACAAGACAACTTCAAAATGCACCAGAAGCATAGTTTGAATGCATTCTGTGCTCATGCCTCCTCTTCACTAGCTTCCGGAGTTCCAATAAGGCTGTTCTTTTCTTGTCGCATTCATGTCTATTTCACCTAAGATTGCTGTTGCACAATTAAAATTACCTGCGTTGAAGCGCAGCATTGCTTCTGCAGCGGCTGCTTCAACAACGAACAGGGACGCATGCTGCCCCATGGGGACCATACTCCCGATTACCGAATGCAGGCTCTCATCGGAGTTCTGTGTTTTGTCGCGTTCGGCAACTTTCAAGCAAGGCCCTTTCCGAAAGCCAGGTATAAACCGGTAGTAATGCCTCTGCCATGTCTTTCGGTAGATTGTAAGAATTCCTGGGACCGGGCCCACCCTTTGCTTTTGCAGCATTGCTCCAACACCATGAACTTTCACCAGCTGGTCGCAGACTGTGGTCCGAGCATTCATCAGTAGAGGTGAAGTGGTGGTATGTGGCTATCACAGCCTTTTTGCATCTCGCCCCCGTGCCCTTCATGCAATTTCAGAGCTTGGCCATAATTATGTGCTCAGCCTGGTGATCAGCTCACCTGCGAGCCTGCCTTTCCCACCAAGACCTCTTTTCACATTGCACTTTTGTTTCTGCACCAGGTTTCTCAATGCGGTGCCCATCCGTTTTGGCACATGACTTATGCAGTCTTCTTTCTGCACGTCAATGTAACCATACACCTTGGCGTCTTGTATGGTGCAAAAGGTCCGAGAGTCTCCATCAGACAGCATAGTTGTGTAGCGCAGGCCATCGCATTCAAGCGATCTCTCAAAGAGAATTAGAGCTGCCTCCACTTCCATTTGCCCCGCTTTACTGTTCAAATTTTTGTTTTGCATTTATGGTTAGCCTTCCATTCTTGACAGCCCTCATCACTACTAGGCTTTGGACCCATCTCGTAGCCTAGGCAAAAGTTTGAAAGAATGATGTAGTCCAACACGTAGCCACTGAATAATTCAATATGGGACTGTGGGAAGAATGACCCTGTGTTTTTCATGTGCCATCTGTGGTGACACGCATCCCGAAGGAGTACGGCCACTAGCGTGGGTCCGGTCTTAGCGAGCCGCAGGGCACGCGTTAACCGTCGCCGTGGCAAGAACACGATACTGCTCAAAGTCGCAACACTTTATTGTCTGTGGCCACCGAACGCAGTACAGCCCGTTGCAAAGGCGCGACGGGAAAGCAAATAGGCTTATCCACGCCATGGGCATAAAAGTACAACACAGGGTGCCACGAGCATGTCTCCGCGGTAAAGGTGATCCACGGATACACCGCGACCAAGGCCCGTTTGCTCGAGCGAGGGCAAAGGCGCTCGCATTGGCTTCGGAGGGAGACGGGTTGGCGTAGCTAGGCCACGCACTAGGACAACGTACCACTCTTCGGCCTAGCGTTCGGAAGGGTGGGGGGGGGCATAAGGTAAGCGTTCACCGCGGGCGCAAGGCGCTGTTGGCGAAGTCCGAACGAGCCCCACAGGGAGCTGATGGATGGAAAAGAAAAGCGTGCTTACCACATGTCGTCCCCGGAGAGGACTTTCTGCCTCCGACACAGCTCGCGAAAACCCCTCGGGAGACTCCGCGCACGGTGCCATAGTCAACATCCGCTACCGAGTGAGGGGGTCAAACTTCACTCCGCTCCCCCGGCGCGGCAGACAGCGGAGGAAGGGAGACACGTCCAGACATGAGAACGGAGAAAGAGGCGGCAAAGCCCGCGACAAGGCAGCGGGCCGGCCTCAATTCCCACACATCGCAGCTAACGGCAATGCTGCCCCGATGGCTGAAGCACAGGTCATCATAAATTGTAGTGACTTTTTTCGCACATTCTCTCATAGTGGACTCAGCCGCTCCCGTTGCAGCGGTGCAACGTATTCTTCAAGTGCCGCTGAAACGGTGCATACCGCGGTGTCAGATGCCCATTGTCACAAAAGTCGTTCATTTTCGTTTGGCCATTGCCGGTAGCGAGCATCGCCCTCGAAGCGAGAAGATTCACTTCAAACGGGTTGCACGTTTTCGTGTCGCTCACGCGGGGCGAAATCCATTCATTCGCAATCTTACCGTACGTTTCACACTGCACTAACACTTTCATGGCAAGTCCGTAGTCCCGATCCCTTCTGACAATCGTAGCTGGTCCGTGGCAAGTTTTGCAGAACAAGGCACCAATCATCGCGTTAAGCGTATCTAGATGCATAAGCAGATAAGAAGCACCGTCGTCAAGAGTCCTCGGCAGTTGCCCCGCTACAACTCCCAATGAAAGAGTCAATTTTCCATGCTGTTGCTGGCGCCGATGAGAGCTGCTCGAGCGTCGCTTTCTCACAGGCACGATTTTCTTGGCATCTGTCACCACCTTGGCATCGATTCATAGCTGCTCGGAGTTCGCTTCACCGTCATTGTCAGCGGAAGCAACACGCTCAGTCGCACCATTGCTGAACGGCCGCGGAGCGTTGACACATCGTTTGTCGGGGTCAACCAAGAGCTCCAATGACTTTATAGACTTTTTCCCGCTACCTTTGCATTTCCTGCGACCAAATGCATGCACGGTGCGATACTTTTTTGCGTTTATAGGCATGGCGATACAATCAGAAGCTTCTGAAGGCTCTGCAGATTTCGAGCTGTCGAAGCGGTAACTATTTCTATATGGCGTCGGGTCGCGTATGCAGGCGTAAGCCGCGAGCTTCAAGCCAAACCAGAAAGCACCATTTTAGTCACGTGCGCCACTTAGCCAATGGCAGTGAGCATGGCTCTGTCTTTGAGGCTCCGTTTTTCGAACCAGGGAAATGCTCAATGTTGCTTACTGAAAACGGGCTATTTCAAACAAGACCAAACTGATGCCGATCAAGCGCGTAGTTCCCGCGCATTATAGAGCCGAAATCTGCGCTATTCACCCTCACGTTAAAGGGCAGATTGCCCATTCTCAGCTTTTTAAAGTTGAATAAAGACAAATGTTGGGGGTATTAGGCTATAATATTTTGTAAGTAAGTGCGCAATGATGTCACGAACACGAAAAGAAGGTCCGCGAAAACTATTTTTTGGCCAATTTTCAGTCGCGAAGTGTCGCGTCCCCCCTTAAAAACGCTGTGAACCCTCTGTTAGCAGCCTCTTTAGATAACTTCAAACCATTAAAAAAAAGAACACCTGCCTTGTTTTGCTACGCTGTTTCTGAATACAAAGAATTCGTTTGACGTACAACAAAATGCGCACATTGAGAATGTGCAGCTGCTACTGCGCTTGTGCCGGTGAACAAACCAAAATGAAGTGCAGCTTCTGAAAGTGCTGGCTGTACAACAAAGCAGCAGCTTTGATGACGACAGCGTACACCTCCCATAGTCCTCGCATCCTTCTATGAAGCAATTAGTGTAAACCTGTGTATAACCTATTTAGGAGGAACATTGAATGCTCCCTGAAGAGTTGCATTATTTTTTTCTGAATCTTCCCTAAGAGAGTTCGCCATTGGACACCTTACGGCGTGAATAATGTTTTTACAACTGTGCTGCCTTGCCGCCAGCAAATCTCATACTAAAATACTGGGTGTGCAAACATGGACGCAAGAAAGGAGGTAAGACACCACAGTGTTCGTGGTGTTTTAACCTTTTCTTGTTCCCGTGTTAGCGCAACACGTCTATTAGAATCAATACCTACCAACTAACTCAGCTCTTTCCTGGTCCGAGTACACTCAAACTTCAATATAACGAACCCGGATGTAACGAATAAGCGAAAGTAGCTGTTTCATAGATACAATAATAAGAACATATGTTTATAACTATTTTTTTATATAACGAAGTATTTTCATGGCAGATGCTACTATTATAATGAGGTTTGAGTGTGAATGTTGTAACAACCACCTTCTGCTTAAGTGCCTCCATCTTGGAGCGGAGGCGCCTTCCGCGGCGTCCCGCCCAGCCCGCAGCGAACTCAGGCCCCAGAGAGGTCTCGGCTGTGAAGGAGTGCCGGGTGCCCCGGTTGGACTCAAAGATGAAGCCGGGCAGGTCCTCACGCAGCAGGGTGGCCTGCTGCTGGCCGTCCGAGTTGTGGATGGCCAGCTCGCCCTCCCGCCGGCAGGAGAGCGACCAGTTACCCACCACAAGGCGCAGGGCGCCGGGACTCGACAACAGAGGCTGGCTCGGGGTATGCGGCTTCACCTGCAAGCACGCGTGTTCCAGTCTTGAAATAACACAAATTGGAACAATGAAAACGCCGACGTTTCGACACCAACCCCCGTTTACGGTTTTTCATCGTAAGCTTCCATTTACCCCTTCCTGCCGACAAATGGGAACAACATATTCGATAATGCAGTGCTCAACAGACACCCAAGAATCAAGCGTGTGGTAAGCTAGGAAACTATTATGTCAAGAACAATGTCCTAAATTACGAAAGTGAAATAATAGAGCTCTTGTTAATTTCTCTCTCCCTCTCTTTTTTTTGCCTATTAGAACTTGTATTGCTCCCTACGAATTGTATCTATTCTTTCTGCAAATACAATTGAACACTGTTGTAATGTTGCCAAACAAAACCGGATGTATAACTGAATACTGCACACACCACAGCTCTTTTGCCCACAAATAGAAACTAACTAGCTGCTTTCCATACTAAAGGCTTGCTGACATCAGGACTGACAGCCAAGTCTTAATGCATTTGATGAGGAATAACAGGTGCAGCACGGCCGTCTCTAACCTAAGATGCTGCAATTCCTTCATCGTACAAACTTGGTTGACAGCTGTTCCTGCCACCTTTCACTGTAGTAGTCCAGTTCCCTCCCAACTGGGGAGAGAGAATTTTAGACACACTGTAAATACCGAAGCACTGTGTCGCTGCCACATCAACGCACCAGGGCGCGTGCCCTCTGGAGCTTCTCGAGGAACTCGCCCCGGTTCTCGGAGGAGTCAGAGCCACCCTCGGGGCTGCCACTCGAGTACATCGTGGCCAGCTTGCCATCGAGGATGAAGCGGAACCATCCATTGGAGCCGTGGGAGAGCTCCAGGGCGGCCGCCTCGCTCCACAGGTAGAGGCAGTCACGACCCCGCACCAAGCTCCAGTCCCGCCAGTGGTACGGCCTTCCCGCCACAATCTCTCGCGCGTCCTCCTGGGCGGTAGGTTGCTGGGCCTGCGCGGGCTGGGGTTCCTCGTCGTGAGCTGCACTGGCTGGCGGCTCCGGAGTCTGCAATGGGGTAGATGACGAAGGAACTTAGTGCGTCTTGTATTTCATTTCGAAAGTACACAGTTAACGGATGATGCTATTGACATAATGAGCTATTAGACGATTGCAAAAAAAGCTTTCGCGTCTTGCTGAGTGTTCTGGAAAAAAGATGTTTCAAAACAGCAACCTGTTCGAAAAGGTTGCAGCTTGGGCATGTTGGCGTGGATTCATTAGCATATAGAAAGTTTTAAAAGGGACGAGACAACAGAGGAAAAGAGTGCTGCTGTTCAAGGCTACGCATCAGCGCACACTAACTGGAGGGCAAAAAGCCCGCTCACCACTTCTTCGCGGGTTACGCCCCGCACCGCGGAGGACGGCGTTGCCTCGTCCGAGGAGTGCTCGGCTGACAGGGTGGCCCCACCTCCGGCCAGCGCCTGCACCTTGGAGAAGACACCCAGACGAGCAAAGTGCTCCAGGAAGGTGGCCGGGGCCTTAGTCATCACCTCCTGGATCATCTGCAGGCAGATCAGGAGGCTGTCCTCGTCCTCCTGCGCAACGTCGCAAAAGAAAACAGTACAAGGGTATGAATTCAACGAAGAAGGAAAGAAAAAGACCCTGCACCATGCGAACAAAACAAAACTGCAAACACTGAAAGTTGAGGCCACAAGGTACTTTCAACACAAGCGGCTCTGTGTTCCAGAACAGCATTCAGCAAACAGCACTTTCCAACGGAACAACTCCCAGCTAAATGCTACACCTCCTTAAAGACGTGTCTAACTTGGAAAAGTACAACATACAAAGGCATGATCCAAGTGTCCCTATCCCAGCACACTCACCTCAGAGTCGAGGACACTGGCGAGAACCTCGACGACGAGAGATGCGAAGTTTGGCACACCCTTCTCAGTGTTGCCCATGTCGTTGAGTAGCGATGGCTGGATGTAGTGCAGCATCTTCCGGATTAGGTTCAGGCTGGACTTCCTGTATTGCAAAGAGACCACAAAAAGTGAGAAAAAGAACTTGCAGAAGATTCTAAGGTATTTACGGGTAAACTACAACTTATCAAGAGTGCCTTATAGCGGTATTTTTTTTATCATACAAGTTCTTTGAATTTCTTGCTTCTACAGTCCACCTTTCAGATGCATGTTCCACTGTGTTGGCTTTTGCCTCGACGTGCCTGCGAAAAGTCTTCAGAGGGCACGGCATTCAACATTAGATGCACTACCGTATTTACTCGCGTAATCTTCGCACTCGCATAATTCTCGCACCCCCCACTCGCCCAAGAAAAATACGATTTCTTTTTTCCTCGAGCAATTATCGCACCCCCGAAAACTGCCGCAATAATGTCGTCTGCTCGTTCCAGCCACTGATGATGATAGCGCGTGCCATTTGGCGCCATCTCTTAAGCATCAAGCATACTATTGCACGCAAATTCAATCCAATCCAAGCTGAAGTGGCCAGTGCGCGTTGCGGCGTGTTTTGTATGCTGTGTCGGTAATCTTGGCACGTTATGGTGTGATACTGAAGCTACACGGCTGCTTCAAGTTGCAAGTGATAGATGACAACGGCACTAAACGACTGCAACAGGGCCGCCGGTAGGCCCTTCGGAGTCTACGAGTTTTGTTATCGCTACTGGCGACGGCAGCTGAAAGCCACCAAGACGCGTTGGGCCTGCCGTGAGCCTAAAACTGGGATTGATGGTAAACTTTATTTCGTCAGAAGGAAACTGCGGACGATTCTGTTAAATAGCCATAAGCCCAATACTGACGTCCTACGCTTACCTTTTGAGGGCTCCTGTTGAGCGACGAACGCTACCATTACGCCCGCAACACCCACAAGCTTTGCGTATGGTATTCTAATTCTCGACTATTTGCTTGCACTTTTTGTGTCTCAAATAAATCTTGCCTTGCATTGAACCTCTGCTTTTATTGTTGAGGTAACTCTTAATTAGTACTTCTCAAAGCTTGCTGTTAGTTGCTGGTGTGAGAATCCCGATTTGCGGCCACTTCGTTTTATTTTTTTTTCGCTCGGTACGTTTTCGTGAATAGTTCTTCCCGCGTAATTCTCGCACCCCCACAATTAGCATCGCTTTTTTGGCAAAAAAGTGCGAGGATTATGCGAGTAAATACGGTAGATGGCTGTGCACGCAATTTGCACGGCCGTCTCGGTTCGCAAACCTCAGTGCAGATTATCCCACTAGTAGGCCATGCTGTCTGCGCAATCATCCACTGCGATAATTGACATGCAGAGCGTGCAAGGACCGGCTGACTAAGGGAGGAGAGACGTAGTAGTATGTTGATCTTTCAGTAGAACAAGCCTCCTTCGATGTTCCTATACCCGAGTCTATCAAGATCATTGTTTTCCTATGGGAATGCAGATGCAAATAGTCGAGCCCGCTTATAACAAACCTGAGCGTGACGCAGCATCCGTTTGCTGTATCCTGAAGTTCATCGTAAATGAAACACAGCTTTTAAAAAAGTTGCGAGTGAAAACACAAACTTTTTTTGCCCCAAAAAGTCCGTGATGCACGTGTTTCGAAGAGCAGAAGCGCTAAGAGCGGTCTCGAGTTCATTTGAAACGGCAGGGTGCTCGTTCGCTGAGCCCCGTGTCATAAGCTGCATGAGGCACTGAATCAAAAGTTTCGTCGTTCTCGCAATCAGATTCCTTCTAATCGCTCTCGCCACGTACTTCATTCACAATGCCCCAACCCATGCACGGTTCCGCAGTGTCAGCATCATCATCGGCCGTAATTAAACCATCGCAAGAGATGTCCCACCCGATCTCCCAGGTCGGAGTCGACGCCACACTGCCACAAATCGCCACCGCTGTTCGGAAGCTTCATGCTCGGCATCAGACCCGACGTCTACAAAGTTGGCCTCGCGAAAACAGTTTCGCGCGCATGTAGTCATCACCGCCGCCCACGAAATATTCACTATCTCCACAGCTGAATACCGGGACGCCCGAAGCGGCAAGTTGGCTGCCAGGTGGTCAACAGCTATGAGCAAGCGTTCCGCAACGCCGCCCCTAACGCACGGATGACACTCAAGCCAAGCGGTCACACTTTCAAAGTTTTGTTGAGCGGCAGGGGAAAAAAAAACATGCTAGTCCTCCCGTCTGCCTTCATGACCACATACGCACACCAAGAGCGAGCAAGACGCGCACATGCGACACACATGCCAGAACGCGTGGAACAGCTCTGGGCCCGTTTCCAGTCAGAAAACGAAACTAATTCAAGCCAGCGTGGTGGGCGTCTCAAAGCAGTGGAGACAGGCGAAGGGGCTGTGACCAAGAGAGGAGAGCAGGCTTGCAAGAGAAGGGCAAGGAGTTGCGATAAAGAGGGAGGATGCAGCGGAAGGGCGACCTTGAAAATCAAAACACAGGGAAAGGAGGCAGGTTGGGTAGCTTGCTTGAAAGGTCCGTGAAACTCGCACGTAGAAAAACTTGGAAAGAGTGCCTGCGCGTGCAGAAGTCAAAGCATGGCCGCCTAGATCGGTGCGCGCGGGGGTGTTCGAAGAATCGGCGGTCATGGTCAAAAAATCGTTTTGTTGCACCGGCGGGTTTGCGTGGCCTCACGAACTTCGATATTTTGCAATTCGTTCCGCGCAAATTAACAGCCGTTATCGCGCTTCCGCATGCGCGCGGAAAGCATGCCGAGCCGAGTGCGAAGAGAGCGAGAAGTCCTGAACACGAAACGAATCGCAAATTATCAGAGTCAGTGGGGTAGCGTATGTGCGTGCACTAGACGCAGACCATCGGATACAGTCGGTGGCTGACGATGATGGCAAACGGTCTGGTCACTCCAAGTCGGTGACGCCTACAACAGTACCAGCGATCAAAAACAGGGTAGATGGTTGACCGGTCTTCGAAAGAACAGTACCAGCGATCAAAAACAGGGTAGATGGTTGACCGGTCTTCGAAAGATCGGTGGCAGTGTGAAAACACTGGCCTCGTCTGGCGATGCGGGGTGCTCAGAATAGAGGGGGACTAAGGACGGAGCGGTGCGTAACAAAGTGGTCGGGGAGGGCGGCAACTAGAGGGGCGCGGAGGCAGGGGCAATGTTTAACAATAAGAATGCATGGGCACCTCGCCGATGCCTGATTGGTAGTCGAAATTAGTTTCCCAGGAAGTCTGCAACCGCTGAACTCCATTCGCTGTAACCGATCAGCGGCACTCGGAGATGTTCGTTGTAAGTGCGATTTTGTGCCATTGAACCAACGTATATTTTCACGGTCATGCGGATATTGTTCGTTTCAAGCGAAAGTTCGATTTAAGGGGGAGGTGGCTTTGAAAAAAAACTTTTTTATTTGTTGACCTACAGCAATGAAATTTGGCATGCATACTCATAAATGTCTAGAATAGGGAAATAGGCAGTTTCATCATGATAGCTTCAGTAGTTTTCAAGTTACATAATGCTACACGATCCAATTACATGGTCTGCTCGTGGAAAGCCTAGCGCTGCAACAAAACATGCCAGGAAGCTGCGAATGATGTTGATCTTTACTCAAAAGAAAGCTACAGGGTATGACACTCTCGGAATTTTTTAATAAGTTCTTGTTTTTTTTTAGAGATCATCATGGCTGCTGACACACATTGTCAGAAACAATGGCACAGACAAATCATCGTCTAGAAAAATAACAGGGCCACAAAACAGAAATTGAAGATTGCTGTACCCGCAAGCAGTGTTCAGGGATTCAGGGAAAAAAACAGAATCAAAATCGGTCCAGTCATTCTCGTGCTACTCTTTCCACGAGCAATGCACAATGTCCAAAACACACTTGTGAGAAAAAGCCTGTCGAAGTTTTCGACAGGCTTTTTTTCAATGAACTTTTTTGTTTCTCGTTGGATATTGATGAAAATTGGCACAGACACTAAGAATAACCTCAAAGTGCTTCCATAAAAATTTTGAAGCGATACCACGAATACTTTACGAGAAACAAATTATTTCTTCATTGAACCATGTGGAGGGGCTGAGCATAATGTCAAAAAAAAAAAAAAGCAGTATTGAGAAAGCTGCGTTTAAAGTTTCAACTTTTCTTTAAGTCTCTAAGACACCTAAAAATTGTGCTCTCAGGTTTGTCTTGTGATATTTGACTTCTTTTCATGATTTACTCTTTTTCATGAGTTACAAAGAACAAGTATGAATTTCAAACCAAGTTCTTTGTATGAAGGATTGGTGTGATAGGTATGACAGAAAAGATTGTAATTGAATAAAACCATATACTGAAATTATTAAACATACCTTTTTTGTGCTGAAGTTGTAATTAGCGTAATTAAGTACTTGATTACAAATATTCACTGAACTTTTTTTTTATTTGGGGAGAAGTTTATTGCATCAGAAAAATGGATCACACCATGACGGCCTATGCCTTCTTTCTAAATAACAAAGTTATGGGCAGAAGACTGGTGGCACAGGAGTGTCTAGCAGTATAATTAATGACACGAAACGGGCATATCCTGATTCACACACGCTCTTTCACCGCTCTAGCCGTGAAACGCATCATCATACAGCCGGTCGCGGAAACTCTAATCTACAGCAATTTATTAACCTCGGAACATTCATAGACGTTCGTGGCGATATCAAGCACGGCTCCAAGCACGTCTGAATCGCATCACAAAAGCTTACTGACGGCGCTCCATATGACCGTGGGGTGCGCGGCCGCGTGGACAGTGCAGCCGGCGCGTAATGCACTTGCCGGCGGCGTTCGATGACGATGCGCGAAATGTGTAACTACGGAGACAAAAAATCGCCACGCGCTGCACTTGGCATCGCATTTTCGAATGCGACGCGCGAAACTGCTAACCGCTGTTCCGAGCGATCCTTGGCGGTGAAGGGGGGGGGGGGGTGACGAGCTTGACTGTGTTGTCTGCTGCCGATGCGTAAAATGCCCGTACAATATTCAGAGGAGCTAGCGAGCGAGCAAGACACATTCCTTGCGAAGAAGCACGTCACCAAGAGTGCGCTTGCGCGTCGTTCCTGCCCGCAGTCTCGTTGTCAGCGGAGTTAGGCCTAAAGCAGACTCCGATGACGCGCCGCACTCGTAGACTGCCGCGCGCCCGCTCGTAGTAATCTGATCGTGCATCCGGTGCGGCCACTCGTAGTAATCAGATCGTGCCGCCGCTTACAGCTTCGTTGCTTGCGAAGAAGCACGTCGCCACGAATGCGCTAGCGCGTCGTTCCTGCCCGCAGTCGGCGGAGTTAGGGCTAAAGACGACTTCAATGACGCGCGGCGCTCGTAGACCGCGCCGACGCTCGTAGTAACCTGATCGCGCATCCGCTTACTGCTCGTAACTAAAGCGTAGTTATATTTTAAGTGATTATCAAGCCGTGAACACGTCACGAAGTGGCGATTTTCGAGAGCCATGTCCTCGCGACGCACAAGCAGCAGACGGACGATCTCCCGGAGCGAACATCGGGCCAATGGCGAGGCGAGCTGAGGCAACATGGCGGCCACGGCCAATCAAGGGCCTCAAAACGACCTTCAAACATTTGCTTTTTCCTCGCTTGTTGTTAAAGGGAGGAGCCAGCTGAGGCGGGAAAGTTAAACACGGAGAAATGCTCTATCTGATGAGCCCAAGAAGCCGGCTCCCGGCCCAAGCATAGCGAAGCTATTATTTTTTGAAAATTGCCGTTTTCTCGCCATTTCCAGAAAAATTTTTGCTACCTAGGTGGGTGAAACGAATTTTCCGAAGCACTTCTGCGCGGTTTTCAGTGTAGATATTTTGGAACCAGATAGAAAAAGGGTTCCAGAAACTGAAAACTTGAGTTTCAAAAAATCGATTTTTTTGCCATTTTTCGCGATCCCAAAGCCGCGTCCCCCCTTAAGGGGGGACACGGGTTTTAAAAGCCGAAAAATCGTCAAAAAGTTGATTTTTTGGAAATGGCAGTTTTGCTATTTCCATCCAATATTCTACCATTTCGCCAAGTTTTATGCAGTTTGAAACGATATCTTAGCCGTAATATCAATTTTAGCACCAGTGCCAGCTAAATATGAGCCAAGAATTTGGTAAATAAAGCGCCTTTTCCGTGACACGCGACGGCCGTCATATTTGTCCGACAGCCGCGAATCATATATCGTTTGAAAGCGCAGCCTCTCGTCTTGATTTTCGCGCCATTTTCGGCTCCGAGCGCGCGTTGGCTGTGAAGATATCCCGATTCAAAAAGAAGTCCCAACACGCGCAGTAATTGGCCAGTTACGGCACGTGACCCGCAGCGGGTCACGCCATTGGCCTGACAGGCATCGTCTGCATCACTCCGCGGCGACTGTGCGCACACCGTACGCGTCAACTGGTTTTCGCACGTGAGCAACGATGTCGACGCCGTCGCCGAAGTTCGCTACGAAGTACAAATTCGGAACAAAAAGGAAGAGGAAGACTCCGTACAACTTCCAGAAATGCGCTGCTGTGCCACCACCAGTTCCTGACCATGCGGAGAACGGCGTGCTTCCCGAGTCGAGCGGCGCCGATGCGGGCGTGTTAGGCCTAGTCCCCCAAAGCGCTCTTGACAACCGCCGCGGGTCTTCGTCGTCGTTTCGGCACGACACTGCAATGTTGCAGCCAGAAGATTTGCGGCGTATAGAGAGTGAAGCTCAAGAAAAACTTAATGTACTTGCTTCAACTCCTGCTACTGCCCGAAAATCTGACTTTTTGGATCGTGATGACGCTGCCACACAAGCTAGCAACGATCTCGCTACAAGTTTTTTCATCGCTAGTTACGACTCGATGAACGCGCTGCTGGCGTCTACCAGTTGCAAGTGTACAATTTGTGGTGGTAACCTCACGGTGCGAAAAGGTGAGCGGGATTTTGGCCTTGCTGTGAAGTTTGTTGCCGAATGTGCGATCTGCGGCGATAATGTGCAGGGATGGAGCTCGCCGCGCGTGAGCGGCAAAGCAAAGCTCAGGCCTTTTGTCATAAACATCCTTGCGGAGCGTGCAATGCAGAGCACCGGAAACGGGCAAACCGCAATGAACGACATTTTTGCGGCGATGAACATTTCGGAGAGAGGAATGCACAATAAAACATGGCAGGGACACTTGAAAACGAAACTCGTCCCCGCGGCAACCGATGGGGCAGAAAAGTTGATGGGGACATGTGCACAATTAGTGCGCGATTTGTACCGTGACCTAAATATAAACAGCCCGGACAACATCGCTATATCGTTCGATGGCACATGGATGACGCGCGGCCACTCGTCTCATATCGGCGTCGGCACCGTAATTGAGCTCTACACAGGATTGTGCTCGATTATGTAGTGCTCAGCAATTTCTGTGCTGGGTGCGCACGGGCACCAAAAGAAGTTGACCCTGCCTACCAGGCTTGGAAGGAGGCACACGCATGCCAGAAAAACACGGACAAAAAAGCTGGGGAGATGGAGGTGGAAGCGGCACTGATCCTCTTCCAAAGATCGCTGCAGAAGCATAAGCTGCGGTACACGACCTTGTTGTCGGATGGTGACAGCCGCGCTTACCTTGCTCTTCAAGATGCGAAAGTCTATGGATACATACCCGTGGACAAGGAAGATTGTGTTAATCACATTCACAAGAGAATGGGCACAGCACTGCGAAATCTAGTTTCCAAGCAGAAGTCCTCTGGTACAGAGAGTCTCGGTGGGAAAGGAAAGCTGACTGGTGAGCTTATCACCAAGCTCAGCAGCTACTATGGCTGGGCCTTGAAATCGCACAAAGGTGATGTCAAGGCCATGCATAAAGCAGTCATGGCCACATACTACCACATCACCTCAAACGATGTCACTTCTAACCACACTCTCTGTCCAGAGGGCCCAGATTCATGGTGCCGCCAAAACGCAGCAAAGGCCAAAGGTGAGCCTGCTCCAAAACACCGCCACAATCTGCCACCCCATGTATGTGAGGCGCTTCTTCCAGTTTACAGACGTTTGTCTGATGAATCGCTTCTTCGGCGATGCCTAAGAGGGAAGACCCAAAATAACAACGAGTGTCTCCACTCAATTATTTGGGCACTGGCGCCGAAGGAGAAACATGCATCATTGTTTGCTGTGCAAGCTGCTGTGGCAGAGGCTGTAATGAAGTTCAATTCTGGGTATGAAAAAGCTTCTACAGCCATACTTCAAGAACTTCAGCTAAACCCTGGCCAACAGTTGACCAAGCGCATGAGTGAAAAAGATCGCCACCGTGCTGAAGCATGCGCACGCAAGCATGCTTCTGCAGAAAACTTGCAGCGTGTGCTACGAAAACAACACCGAAATGACTCTAAACAGACAGACTATGTTCCTGGAGGGTACTGATGCTAGGCCATTTGTGAACATTGTAAATAGTTTGTGATTTTCTGTATTAAATATGAGCCTATTTTGTTTTTTGACGTTTTCTCAGAATGTCATTTTCGATGTTTTTGAAACTTGCCAAAGCGATATCTTGGTCTTGAGGTCACATAGAGCCACAATTCTTGTGGTGGCATGTAGCTACATATGTCTCCTACACAAATGTAGGAACAGATTTTTCAATCTAGTCTTTCTAAATTTTTATTCTTGGTACTAATTTAATCGCTTGATAGAGATATCTGGAGATTAAACTTCAAATTGCTATAAAATTGGTAATACTTGTAATATTAAAAAAGTAATCCTACATTTGTGTTAATTACACTTCATAGTATCTAGCCATATGTCAATATTAATATTCTGGCCAATAATTGCCTTTCCATTGTTCTGATAAACAATATAGGATTAATTTTAATTATCTCTGCAACTGGCCAACCAATTTCAAAAGCAATTATATTTTTGAAATCAGCTTGAAAAACTCTGTCTGGGTTACAATTTTCATTGAATTTGGTCAAGAAATATAAAAAAAAAATTTAAAACCCTCTTCCCCCCTTAAGTGGGGCCGTTATATGTGGGCTCGACTGTAGTGTGCTCCTGTTCAGTAGTACACTCAAAACTCGTTATACATAACCCAAATGTAACAAAATATGAGTTATAACAAAGTAAATGAAAAGCAGTTTAGTAATAAATGTAGTCTTAGGATATGCCTCTACAAATAATTTTTCGATATAACAAACTTATTTTCATGTATATCGCAACTTCGTTATAATGAGGTTTGAGTGTACCAGGAGAGAGGCTGCCGTATTGACAGTGAGGCAAGCTACTCACCTGACAGAGCGGATTAGAGTGTGCTGGAAGGTGAGGCAGAAGATGGGCAGCAGGCGCCGCAGGTAGACTGGTGCCATCTCGGGGTCCCCCTTGGGCTCGCCATCGTCCTCTGCCTCGCCGAGCGCAGCCCCGCTGGCTCCAGACGATGAGGCCCCTCCCCCGCACGACCTCTTCTCTCCAGGCGACTCCCCCACTGGGCACATCCACTCGCCTGCACGCACACACACAGACACGCACAAGCAGATATCAGCACTGTGTTGTCTGTGTTATCATAACTTTAGCCATAATGCTACAGTGCATTTGCACACACAGTCTGACAAAGTTGTTTTTACAGTTGGACCACTTTACAGGACAAACACCGTGGAGCAGTTTTTGCAGTTAATGTGAGCAGCCCCTTATAAAGGCGTGTTTACACTGATTTTGGTCTGTGGGCTGTCTTTAGGGGTGTCTTTTCTTCTGTCCTCAGCCTATGTACACTGCAAAGACACAAACAGTCTGTAGGTGGTCTCTGGTTGGCCAATTCTGTAGTCACATTGGAGGCACACGCCGGCTAAACTTGCACACCTGCCCCTAATTTTCACCATGCTCCCACTCCGCCATTGTCCCTTTCCGGCTAAACAGCGCAGCCCGCCATAATCCGTGGTAACCAGGGACAAGGTAGGGGATACACAATAGTTTAGCGAAGAAAAGACTTCTGTTCTGGAGCTGTCTATGCAGACGCCACAAAGCCGCATAGAGGGCATTGTTAACTCCCCCAAGATTGCCTGCTTCTTCGTTTGAAGCAAAGACATGGGGTGAATTTTCGCTCAGACAGACACCCCGAGGACGGGCCTGCAGATTTTCGGTCTCTCATTCACTACACTACAACGAAATGTCTTTTGAGGCGTGGTCAGTGTTATCGGCCTAGTGTTTTCGTCGGGGTCATGTCAGTGTCGTGTCGCTCTAGTGTAAACGCGCCTTAAGGGGGCAGACTAGTCTTAGACATTTTTTTGTTTAATTCTTCGGTGATCTTGATCAAACTGCACATGATTATGCAGTTTTTTTTACTGATATCAAGTATTTATTAGTTTTCCTGTAACTCATCTTGTTCCTGATATAACTTAAGTTCACCTCCTATTGTTTAAGGCTGCCATAGAAAAAAAGTGCTTAATTAAAAGTGATATTTAAGATATTCCAACATAGAGCATAGATTGAAAGTATGCAAGCATGTTTTTTTGTTTTTAGGCCTTTCATGGTTATTTTACAGTAAAGTGAGTTATCCATTTTCAAAAGCAGTTGGAATTGTGTTACAATTTTGATGAGTAATTAATTAAAAAGGCTTGTGCTCTAAATTCTGCTCCCGTACTTGCATTCTACACACATACAGATTTCCATTGCAAAAATAATCATTTTTGTACCTGCCCTAGCTGCAGAAATATTGAGGCCTCAAAATTGAACAGTCGTAAATTTACTTTGAGAAAAATGGAAAACACACAGCTTCTTCAAAAAGCAACAATCATGGTGTGCAGGTTTTGAAATCCTCATAAAGATGCTCATAAATTCGTAGCAGAGCTTCTAACACAGGTGCCGACAGATTATAAGAAAGCCACAAAGTCGGTTCCCCATTTTTTTGCAGGTTATGAATGCTAGCACCAAGAATCTGGACAGTTATATCGACACTACAAAAAAATTACCACTTACTGGTGTGTGAAAATTTGCACAAATACAAAAATACTTGCAGAAACCAAATATGTCAATTTTTTAAAAAAAATGAAATTTTTGGTCACGCTTTGGTCACGTTTTGGTCCCAAAGACCAGTCTGCCCCCTTAAAAGCAGGCTATCATGGCCTCAATTTTCGAGTGGCCCCTATTTTGATGTAAGCACACTTGTGTCTCTCATACCCCATTGTCTCCTACACTAGTGTTTTTTAAAAAGAGATCCAGGTGTGTAATAAAATAAAATCACTAGGGCCTGATTAAACTGCGAGGCACGCAGTCTCTACAATGGAGTGACTTTAATGCAAAGCATACTGAAGGCCCCAAGCATGTTTTTAGAAAGGTGTTATGCAATATCAACTGTGGCTGTCAAAACAGGAGATCGGGTATGTATTTAAAATGTTACGAAATTTAGGGCCACTGAGCTGGCTGCAACAAATTGCTTGCAGGCGAGTTTACATTGCCCACTCTGTAGAGAAGAGCTCATACTTCTGGGTTTCCCAGCTTTAATAACAGCAAAAGTTGATAGAATGCTTCAGGCATTCACTTGTACAGCAATGGAGCCATCCTCAGTGACATACAGCAAGTTTCGTCGCAGTAGCGCCACGTCAGGATTTTTCTTACATTCAGTGCTATGACTGTGGCACCATTGAAGAACTACCAATGCTACTATAGCTCAACAAATCAGAAACAAGGTACGGGGGAACACGACGCACTCGAGCAATACACGCAGAAGCTTTCTTTATCTCAGAAGTTCAAGGATTACTAACTAGTCCAAACATGCACATTGCTAAGTTATATTCAATAACTATGTTGGTAAGAATGCGTTCAATTAAAAGCCCACACGCACACGTGTGCAGAATGCACAGAAAGAGTCCAGCAAGCATTACCGGGAGACTGCAGAATGGCAGCCACTTCCCGGTGGCCCTCGTCGTTCCTCTCGCGTGCCTTGTCCAGGGGCGTTTTCCCGTCCTCGTCGCGCAGGTCGGGGTTGGCACCGTGCCGAAGAAGAACCTGCAATGGTCATTTGGGGAAGGACAGGGATGTAACAGCCAAAATAAAATTTTTGGAGCACTAAAATCTAAATTTGGAGCATGTTACAGGATAATTTTTTTATGACAAAAGATCAAATTTGGAGCAGTATTAAAAATAAGGCTTAAATTTAGAAAAAAAATATATGTACAAACCATTCAACATCCCCTAAATTGTGCAGAGTGAATATGAGCACTGCTATTTGAATAAACAAAGTTTTGAACCACCCCACTCAGCAAACAATGATAAAGTCAACATTAGAGATTGCCACCCTGGTCAAATACAGACTGAGGATTCAAACGTGGATCTGCCAAACTGGCGGCCTTAGCGATGGCAAAAAAAAAAAAAAAGGAAAACTGGCGCACAGTTTTATTTCATTTTTTTTTTTTAAGGGCTGCACAAATGTTATACACTGCTCCAAATAATTGCCAGTAACTTTTATAGACGTCAGTGATCATACTAGTACTCACAATTATTATGCTGCATACACACGCATGAGTAATTGAACGAATGTGCTGTGTCCCGTAACTAACGCTAACAACCCCTTCCAAATATTAAAACGCTTTTCCGCAGGTTACCGGTGTACTGTGGCGAATGTGGTATTCTCCACGGGTTAGAACAAGGCCAAGGGATGTGCGAACCTTTACAGCCCTTCAACCCGCCCCAGCCCCCCTTCCCCCTTTTTTTTTTCGTGATGAAGTTAGGCTTGAGGCACATCTCAATTCGCTTGCCAGGCGCATTTGACTAGATAAAGTAACACCGGCACACGCCCATTGGCTCGGCGACAGCACCGCATATATATATATATATATATATATATATATATATATATATATATATATATATATATATATATATATATAGCAACGTGCCGTTGTTATGATAACGCAACTATGATTGTACTGCCAGGGGTGGCTTTCGATTGTGTCCGCGATGATAAAATTATAGTTTTGGTATGCGACTGTAGCGCAGGCGCCTCCACTATGGATACGAAAAAATCTGGGAATCCGTGCAAATTACTTCCAGGTAATATACAGTAAACATTCTATTTCCCCGTATATTTTGACCTGCAATAATTTGCTAGACATGCGTGGCACATTACCGCATGGCTGACAGTTTGTGCAGTATCGATTCGGCGCGATTGGCGCAACTGTTGCACCTTTGGGAGGACCAACACTTGAGTGATGCCTGCCAGCGCAGAAAACGACTTTGATAAACAAGCTACAGGTAACCAAGGTAGACCGCACATTCATTAAGAGCCTTCTTGCTAGGCTTGGTTCACAACGCTGAAGGAGAACAAAATGTGCACGACAAGGGCACATGCCAAGTTACAACAAACTTCTCTTCCCGTTTTTATTTTTAATTAACATCAGTATAAGCTCACAGCCGTGCACGTGCAATCAGGGGGCACTACGCGAGGAAATGGTAAAACTTGCGTTGCAACAAACCTCACATGAACATTTCTTGTTGTTGACCAACAAAGCAATCAAAGCATTGCTATCGGAATACGTATACAAAATGCCCGCATCAGTTTTTGGGAAGCGAAATCCTTTGCGCTGGTCAGCGTTCACTTTTAGTCCTTGTCTGGATTGCCCATTTTATTATGCGCTGAAAGGTTAATTTTTGAGAACTTGGGTTGCTGTTAATCATACCATACAAGGCTCGCTCTGAAAGCAGAACCCGAAGCTGAATGTTTTCCACTGGAACTTCGTGCAGTAACTTAAATGCTGCCGTGATGTCTCCGACTTGCCGTATTCACTCGACTGTAACGCAACTATGATTGTACTGCCAGGGGTGGCTTTCGATTGTGTCCGCGATGATAAAATATAGTTTTGGTATGCGACTGTAGTGCCGGCGTCGACTATGGATACGAAAAAAATCTGGGAAATACGTGCAAATTATTCCAGTAAATACAGTAAACCTTCTTTCCCCCTTATATTTTGACTTGCAATAAATTTGCTAGACATAAGTGGCACATTACGCAGGGCTTGACAGTTTGTGCAGACGGCCTGTAACTGCAAGTGGCAGTGAGGATGCGACTCGTACCACGCCTATGTGTGAATGCTTACTTAAATGCCACTGACAACCTCTGGTAATCAAGAGTACCAGACCGGATAGAAGGCAAGCATGCCAGGGGGGGAGACAAAAAGTTAGATGGGAAGATCAAATTAAGAAGTTTGGGGCGGGGGCGGGTGGTCAGGGTGAAAACATGGGGAGGCCAATGCAGTGCATTAGGCATAATCAGGCTGATAATTATACTCCGAATGCCCCAGCAGCAACGTACGAATTGCACATCCTGCATGGTAATACAGCCTGCGGCCACTGAAGTCAACTAGCATGTGACTACTTAAATTGCAGACCAGGTTCTTTCCGAGCTCTAGGCAAGCCGCGGTCCAAGTGACCCCAGTTTAGCCAACCCATGAGCAGACAGTATATTTTTCCAATACAAATGAACCGCAATAGATTGCACCTCGCTAACCATACTGCACTCCTGGAGTAAAAAGCGAAAATTTAGGGCTCAGTAATGCATTTACTTCCATTTCCGATATCTGCAGTTCCTGCTGTATCCGCCACAATTTTCACTCGAGCACTTACATCTAAGCCAACAGGCTGGATTTGCAGCGACACGATGCGGTCATACTGAGCAACTTTTAATAACAGTAGTGAAATTTAAATATTGCATTTTGATCCACGAGTACCGACCATAGCTACATTTCGCTACAAACGTTTTTTTGTCTTTCTTGTCAATGGAAATCAAGAGTGCTGCTAGCCTTTACAAAGCTCTTTGAATTTAGGATCAGCAGTAAACAATAATAAAAGTAGAGCGCAAAAAAAAGACGAAACACGGGAGACAAGTAGACAGACCCTGTCTACTCATGTCCCGTGTCGTTTTTTTCTTGCGCTTTACCTTTATTTTTAAACAATGCACTGATTCGCCCAGCAACGCAATCTATTCAACATGATGCGGGGAACAAGAGGTCAGCAGAGGAGCTCAGGAAGAAGTTAGAGATCGTACAAAAATTCATGCACAAACAAATGTTAGGTGCAACATAAAGAGAGGGAAAGAAGAGGGTGCAGGTTAGCAGATTAAACATTGATAGTCAACATTAGGCCAACATTAAGGTGGAGAAAAAAAATGAAGCTGGAAGAAAACCATGCAACGCAGAGGGATCCGGGATGCATTAGTGTCTATCACAGATACAGAACAGGTGCCAAAGCATGCGCAGCTGAGGATGGCAGAGCTTGGAGGGGCAAGATGAAATCGTGAAGAAATTCACACACATGTACAATTTAATCACAAAATACAAAAATCGCTTGCACGAAACTGCCTTTTAAACAGAACGCCATCGTCACAGTTGTTGGTTTTGAGTTTGCCCAATGCCAAGTCATTTATTCAACAGCCCTGTCGTACTTGCAACTTCGCATGAACGCAACTGCGTGTGTCACCATCGACCCTTCATCGTTTGTACAGCCACCGAGCTTGAGGTTCAATAAAGGCATTGAGCGGTGGCAATTCGTCGCTTGTCTACTCAGTTGTACTTTTACCAATGCTGGCCGATAGGGCCACAATGAAACAAGGACGATAATAAACATTAAAAAACGTGCCTTAAGGTTCCTTGCTATTTGCACGCCGTCGGTTGCTATTGGTATCTGAACCTGTGACTAACTGACTTCGTTATACTTTATTTCCACCATGGTATGTTTATGTTGTCTTCCTCTATGCAATAAAGCAATTGTATCTCTTTGAAGAAACACTTTGTTTGCCTGTAGCTTTGCTTATCAGCTAGTGACAAACCAAACACACCATCTCGGGTTTTTGAGATTCTAATCAACAGAGAATTATTTAAGGACCTGTTTGAAAAAAAAAACAGTGAGGCTCTGTTCGAAAAAAACTTCCATAAGGTTCAGTTTAACAGAGAATTCTTCCATGTTCCATTATACACAGGTCATTTATACGTTCAGCAAAGAATCACCAAAGGTTCTGTTCAAGAGACAGTTTACTGGAGGACGAGGTTATCAATGGCAAGACCGGGTTAATTCAAAGGGTCATCCTGCGGTGCACACTCACAACAATGATGACGACTATTAATCACAATGCGACAGAGAGAGAGAAGCACCGCCCACCTTGGCCACACCAGGGCGGCCAAAGCAAGCGGCATAGTGTAGAGACGAGGAGCGCTGGCCCTTGTTTACATCAGCGCCCCTGTCGCAAAGAAACTCCACCATCTCCTGGGTTCCAAAGGCCGAGGCCCAGTTGAGCAGCGTCTGGCCCACGTCAGTCCATGAAGTTAACCTCGATACCTGCAACCAATGGAAGATATCCAAACTTATTTCCCCACAATTGTGCAAACCATTTGCATTTTTAGACACTCGTACACAAGAAAGGTACTGCAAACTCTCGTGTGGAACGGGATTCCTCACAACAGTTTCTTGCCATTTCTTACAATTCCTCAAGTCCACGCTACATCTTGGTACGATGTCATGCAAACTTTACACAGAAGTGAATTACCTAGTAAAGAACTCCTAAAGGTCCCAGAAACTCCGTCACAAAGCTGTTCAACTGTAGCCCATGCATAAAGTCACTGTTCAGTTACCCACAATCCGCAGTTTGCACTGTCGGCAAAAGAACAGTACTCACCGCCCGAGTCGATGGCGTCCACGAGGGCATCCGTGTCCTTGCTGCGGATGCAGTCGATCAGTTGCCGGTGGGTACGCTCGCCCCCAGCACTGTCAACCCTACGGAGAGAGCTCAGCCGTGTGGAGACCGACGCCACTCCGGCCTTGGGCAGCGCCTTGCGGCCCTCGAAAAGCAGCACCAGGAGAAGGTCCACCAGGCGCATCGTGTCCAGCACGCACCTGTGGGGACAACAGTAATCGGAGTGACACTTTTATTGGGACGCTAAAAAGAAATGCTGTATCGTGTAATATTGACAAACTGTATTTCAAAAAAATACACCAGTCAGTTTTGTTGAAGGTCATTACGAGAAAATTTACAAATGAGAGTTAAAATTTGTCGTGCTGTCTAATGGGCCGCACTGTTATGTGCTAAATGATGCCATGCGCTTGCATATTGGTAGTGGTCCCAGCGTCCAGTCTTATTGTGCGCACTTCGGAATGGAAGCAAAAGTTCGAAAAAGTCTGGTCACTGTTTCTGACACTGTCGAAATTCAGCAATATTGACAAATTTTGTAATGGCAGCATAATAAGTCAGTCAAAGGGCCCATAGAAGCTCTGTGGGCAAATCAGGGTTGACTAATGATCAAATATGAAAACATGGCAGAATTTGACAATGTACGAAATAGCAACCCAAGTGAGGTAGATTACTTTTCTTTTTTTCTCAATGACTGAATGAAACCATAAACAAACATGATGTCCTTTTTCTCTCTCTCCCACTTTTTTTATACAGTGCACTGTCGGTGCATGTAACACTGCGTGACAATTTGGCCACATCTGGTTATAATTTGCATAATGACAGGCCCTGGTCAATCTTATGAACACCATTCCAATATATCAACAAATAAAAAACCATTCCAATATCTCAAAAAACAAAATTTGATCGCAGCAACAGCTTGTTTGGGAATTCACGCTTACCGTTCATCTCCTTGAAGGGCAGACTCAATGGCATCGGGAAGCTCTGATCTCAGAAGATCCTGAAATATGCAGGCTTGCGTTAATAATAATAAATATTATACATGGTTGAGATGAAAAAAGCTCAAGTGCTTATCCTGTACCAGTCTTTGAAACAGTCACTTTTTCTTTCACGATCACCATTTAGTGCCAAAAAAAGAAAACCAAAGCAGCGCCATTTTGTTGTTAATGCTGTTGCTGATGCACTGCAAACAACGTGAAATGTATAACTGGTGCTTCATTGTACAAGATTTGGTGGTTTCAGCTTAATTTCAATTCTGCACTCAATATTGTATCAATAAAACTTGGAGCTTTCAAGTAAGTTTTTTGACGATACAGCATTTTTTTTCCCTTCTATCTACGAGTTATTTTCCAACGTGGCCCATTACCTGTACTAACATTCACTGAACACAAAATAGAGACAGGCTATCTTCTGAATTCATTCACACTACACACTACAATACTTACATGCGTTATGGCTGGTGATCCTCTGCAGAGAGTAGAAAGCAGGCTTATGATGGTAGACACTGTCGGTGAAGATTTGGGCTCTGCCGGCGCAGTGGCTGGTGCAGGTGTGCCACCACTCTGGGTTCCACCTCCGGATGGAGGTGCCAGCAGCGAGGATGCTGGTGCTGCAGCATGAGCCATGCGTCCCAAGAGCTGTTGGACCAGGCCATGCTCGGCCAGGGGTGCAGGGTCCAAAGACCTTCGCATGAAGCGGTCGGCCAGCGAGGCAAAGCACCGGAGGGCGCCATCGGACACCTGTGAAGTGTTGAAGAACAACACCTTGTTCTTCTTAATGAAAACTGTTAGAGTTCGACATTCCTAATTCCAATGTTCCGATTAGAGATGCCATACTGGAAGGCTCTGGAAATTTTAACCACCTGGAGTTCTTTATATATTTGCATTTAAACCTGAGCACATGGGCTTCTGGCATTTTAACTCCATTGAAATGCGGCCACGACTCAATCCCGTGACGTTCGGTTCAGCAGTCGAGCCCCATAACCAGCTAAGGAGGTGTCCTCCTTTTGTGTATGCAATAAATGCACGGTGGCATTTTCAGTACTTTAATAGCACTGTTACAGAGACACGTGACTGTGCAAAGTTAACACTAGCACAGCAGTGGTCGCACTTCGTAAGTGCACACAGCAGACTTCATTCTGTTCTACCTCACTCCTTTAATCTCTTCACCAACCCCTTCCCCTTGCCTCGTTTCGAGTTTCATTCTTCAGGCTCAAGACATGTCAGATCGCTTCAATTATTGCTGTTATTATTTCGAACACTGCCCCAAATTACTGCTGGAGATTAACAAAGGGTGACAACTTAGGGGTAAGTTTCTTGGAACTCAATTATGCCCTTAATCTGGTCAAAGATCTGACGCCTTTTTTTTACCTTTTTGGGCGAAAACCCCCCTGTGTTATGATGTAAGATGCTGGTTTTTTCTGATTTATAGTGATCGCATGAGGTCTGTAACATGCTGCAGATATACTTTCTTTTTATACCTCTGACTGAAATCAGACTATCCTTGACCGGGATAGACTATACTCGGGCACAAGTAGAGAAAAAGCAGCTATTCGCCATCAAAAGCCCCCTGACCAATGGTGCCATTGTGTCATCGCGATGTCACAGCCGACTGCCTCTGCGCTGCCCCCACAAGAGGTTTCAAAAAGCATGTCCAACTAACTCCTCCACTAATCAACTGATTGGAGACTTTTTTTTTTTTTGGTATAACTCTTCCTAAGCAGCACGTCACCTCTGAGACTTGACAGATGCCCATTAACAAGGAGTTACCAGAGTTCCAAACATAAAACTGCTTTCAAGTCTAAACTATTCTTACTGAGATGAACCCTTTAACACTGCTACACGGTGAAATGACTTATCCAAACGCGACTCACGTGCGTGTCCTCATGCCGGAGTAGGAGGGAGAGGGCCTCGACGCAGGCCGGAAGGCAGGCATCACTGGTGTCCACCTTGCCGCACAGCCTGGACACCACAGCCATAGCCGAATGGAGCGTGTCCTTGTGGACCAGGGAGCCCTTGTCCCGGATGAACGACAGCACACACTGCAGGCCGCCCGCTTCAAAGACGGCACCGGCCTCCCGGGTGCAGATGAGCTCCAGCACCTGAACAGCACCAAGTCAACGAGTTGTAGTGTGCCATCCTGCCATTACTACACCAAACTTCTGATGTCAGCTTCGAAGATTACAGTAGCCTGGAGGATTAACTTTTCGTGAATACTGCAGATTACCTGTGCTGACTGACAAAGAAGAAATACATGAGGCAGACAAGCAAAATAACAAAAAAGAAATAAGCAAAGAGCACCTAAGCAGTCATCAATCAGAGATATTGACAAAGTGTCAAGAGAGCGTATAAGCTGACACGTTTGTGCAAAAAACGGAAGAACATTTTTGAGCAAAGATCAGGTGGAGCAACGGAGGAGGATTTATGGATAATCAGCAGGAAAGTCGAAGCACACATACACTAGAATCTATGTACTTGGGAATCTCTTAAACGGAATCGCTATTTAGATATTACTACTGTCTCTAATAAGACTGGTTTGACACTTGAATCTTACAAATGTGTTCATCTTTCAGTAAGCAGAACTTCTGTAAAACAACACATCTTCCTGGTCCCTTCAAGTTCCGTTTAACGCTGAGTCTACTATATATAACATGGTATAATGACAAGAAACGAAGGATTGAAGTTTCTGATTAATTCAGGCATTATTTCAGTAATACTGGCCTTTCTAATGCAAAACTTGAACAATTACAGTAAACGCTCATTAATTCAATGTCGAGGGGAACTAAACTGTTTGAATTGAGCAGAGCTCGCATTATGGGCAGGCTGGCGCTAGAATCGATGGACATTGTGCATTGTGCGGGCAGAACTTAAAGAACCTACTTTAGCACTCGTCATTGCAAACAAGGCGCTGATAAATGTTTGTGGCCGGTGAATTCTTAAACTAAAATCATGAAGCTTTAAACAGCAAACAGTTACTAGTAATTTGCATTTTCTTGTGTTTCTATTGTTGCGACTCCATCATTTGTTGCTTGCGCAAGAGCTCCAGTGCAGCATCCAAATTCTTATCTGCTGTGAAACACTGCTGTATCGTTTTACACCTCTAGCAAATTTAGTTCGGTTTGGTTTCACAACATATTCTGATCGTCGTGAGTCTACTGCAAGGAGAGACGAAAACTAGGGACTCCTTATTCGTAGTATGTGATGTGGATAGCAATGTGTTCTGCACTAGAACCAAGGCATCAGTTCAAGTTATGTTACTTAAGCTTAAGTCAACGAGCTTCTACTATAATTGGAGACTCGTCACAATGTGAGCATAAAATTTCCACATGCACTCAACGAGCTATACTTAGTTACAAGCTAAGAAAAATAGGTAGGTGCACCCAGAAAACCACAGTATGCCTGCCATTGACCTGTGACGGACAGTATTTCCACTACTGCCGCAAATACTTTTTCTAGTCTCGTGTGATTACTACCTAAAACAGTACACTTGGCTGCGTGTAAGCATGTGAGAATGCCTCGCGAAATTCACTAGGATGTCCAATTTCCCAACCTAAAACTTACAACACGCCAACGTTGGTCTGCAAGTCGGCTATAGGATACGCCAACGTTGGTCTGCAAGTCAGCTATATGATATTTCGAGAAGTGCTTGACATCACAAAAATGAGCGAGTGCTTTTGGACAATGCACTTGTGCAAGTTTCCAGTGGGACGGCAGTAGGTGGTTTACCTTAACGCACTGCTCAGCGAGGTCCTTGCTGGTTCGTGAGGACACGTCGGCAACCACCAGGCGGTTGCACATGGCCTTGACGGCGCCATCGACGGCCACGATGCGGCGGGTGCACTCGGCCGACACGTCAAGGTAGTAGGTGATGGCCCGGGCCGTGACCTCAAGCACATTGTCCGGTGCACCCTCGTCCAGAAATATGCGGCACAGGGCCGGGAGGAAGGTGCGGGGTGGGCAGCTGCACAGTGACAAAAGGAGAGAGAGAGAAAAAAGGTAAGTTTTGATTTCGTGCTCTTCTCGTCGGTTCTTGCCACGTACTCGTCAAACTAAATACTGTAGGGGAAAATCGAGAAGAACCCTTGAGAGCTACCGATATGGTAACTTTGATCAGCGAGCCAAAACAAACGTACGTGAATCATAATGCAGTGCAGTGCAAAAAAAAAAAATGGACACCAAATGAGCGAGAGAACAAAGACACAGTGCATTCTTCCAACTAGAGTTTATTAGATTGGGACGCACGAATATATGCACAGGCAAAGCAAGAAAAGATAAAAACTAGGAAGGAAAAAAAAATCGGGTAGAAAAATCAAAACGTGAAAACTAAACAAGGGCCGATAAGACACACGAGCACTAACACTGCCCACTTTCACCTTTTGATTATTTTTTTCTTCCCAATATTAATCAAAACGTGAAAACTAAACAAGGGCCGATAAGACACACGAGCACTAACACTGCCCACTTTCACCTTTTGATTATTTTTTTCTTCCCAATATTTTTCTTCGTGGTTTTTATCTTTCTTGCTTTGCCAGTGCATATATATATCCGTGCGTCCCAATCTAATAAACTTTGGTGTCTGTTTTTTGCACTGCACTACATTATGATTTAATAGTTCCAACTCGCCAACAAGCAACGTTGCTAAATGTAGCGTGGCTTCATAGAAGTAATGCAATTTAATTCAGCCTGCCCCATCAAATGCCGGCTTTCGAGTTTCAAATAAAACACAAAACAAATTGTAGTGGGAGGCCTCCTTGTTCACTAGCGCAGTAAGCTTTTGAGGTGACACTGTTGTTTTAAACCCGCGTCTTCGTATTTTCGTTTTCAATATTTGCTATTAAATTGCCATAGACCTGAACCACACATTACACAACACTTCTTGTACCAAGCGCACAAATCCACAATTTCTTTAGAATTCCCGCTGCTCTCGGAAAAACAGATAGCAGTACTCTCGTACAACTTTATTATGTGCAAGTATATTTGGGGAGAGGGAAATAAAAACACATCGAAATATTTTTGTTATCGGCAAACTGTCGTGCTCCTGGCACACACATGACAGAGCTAACCACACATCCCAAGCAACGTTCCAGTATTGTAATGGTCAAAGTGCCACTGTACAGGTTAATATTCATAATGTAGCACAAAGAGTCAACGAACACACAGAACCACTCACCACAAGCTCTACAAATAATTTTGTTAGTAGCGCCAAGCGCTACAAACAATTCTGTTAGTAGCGCTTGTGGAGTGGAGTTCTGTGTGTCCATTGCGTCTTTCCGTGCTACATTACGATTATTAGCAAGCGCCAACTAGCCGAAGAACAAGTTCTTCTGCACTTTACAATATTTTACCTGGACGTATGGGTGCCGCCACTTTACAATATTGTTACGCAATGTCGTAAGTTGCGAAAACGATGACGCTTGGTCATGGCCCCATGTAAACGAGGCGTCTTTCTTCAAGAGGTCTGTGAGTGGGCGTGCAATGGTCGCAAAGTCCTTAACAAAGCGTCTGAAATATGAGCACAACCCCACAAAACTGCGGACATCCTTTGTGGTCTTCGGAACGGGAAAGTTCGTGACTGCGCGAATTTTCTCTGAGTCTGGACGCACGCCTTGAGCATCGACCAGGTGACCGAGCACGGAAATTTGACGACGAGCGAAGCGGCACTTGGAGGCGTTAAGCTGGAGTCCGGCTCGACGAAAAACGTCCAGAATAGCGGATAAACGATCAAGATGCGAGTCGAATGTGCGCGAAAAGACGATAACATCGTCAAGGTAACACAAGCAGGTGGACCATTTCAGCCCTTGGAGCAATGAGTCCATTCTTTCAAATGTGGCTGGTGCATTGCAGAGTCCAAAGGGCATCACCTTAAACTGATAAAGACCATCATGAGTGATGAATGCGGTCTTCTCGCGGTCCATCTCGTCGACGGCTATCTGCCAGTACCCTGATCGAAGGTCAATAGTTGAAAAATAAGTGGCACCGTACAGGCAGTCGAGGGCGTCGTCGATGCGAGGTAAAGGATAAACGTCTTTTTTGGTATTTTTGTTAAGGTGACGCTAATCGACACAAAAGCGTCATGTTCCATCTTTCTTTTTAACAAGGACGACTGGAGGAGCCCAGGGGCTGCATGAAAACTCGATAATGTTTTGCGGAAGCATTTTGCCGACTTCATGTTGTAATATTGCACGCTCCGACGCAGACACATGGTAGGGGCGTCGGTGAATGGGAGTTGCATGGCCAGTATTTATGCGATGGGGGACAATGGTCGTTTGGCCTAAAGAGTTGCTGGCAAAGTCGAAAATGCTACGATAGCCTTCAAGAACGTGGCAAAGCGCTGCAGCTTGCTCAGACGTGAGGTCCGATGACACCATTCGCTCGTTGTCGGCGCCCCAAGAACGTGATGGAGTGGAACCACTGACTGAGCTGCAGCAATCGTCAACTCCGAAGGGCTCGACATGGTGATCTTGGAGAGCAGTAATTTTGGCCAGGGAGATACCCTGTGGCAGAACTTGGGCGGTGAGTGAAAAGTTGACCAGTGGAAGGAAGGTGCGGTTTCTCTTATTCGTCAGGATCATATGCGGCACAGCAAACCCATGCGTAAGCATCACGGCAGGAATCGGGGCCACCATGTAATCACCATCAGGTACTGGCGGCGTGGAGGATAAGTTGACATGTGTGACAGAGTTAGGCGGGAGGCGCGTGAAATCAATGCAGCAGAGGCTGCTTTGCGGTGGGCTGGTCGGGTCGGAAAAGAGAGGTGAATCGAGATGGAGAGAGCCAGCTGAACAGTCTATGAGGGCAGAGTGCGTGGCTAGAAAATCCATAGCGAGAATGAGTTCATGAGGGCAATGTTCGATAACGGCGAAAAGAACGACAGTGCTTCTCTCCCCAATAGACGCTCGCGCAGAGCACATGCCAAGAATTGCAGCAGTTACTCCATCGGCGACTCATACAGCTTGGTTGAGGGTGGGCGTGACAACTTTTCTAAGTCGGCGGCGAAGGTTAGCACTCATAATGGACACATGCGCGCCAGTATCTATCAATGCACTGACACGAACATTGTCGACAGTAACGCCCAAAAGGTTCCGGTTCGTTGTTAACGTTAATCGAGGATTTCTTACGAAGGTCGTCAACGCAGCTCCACCTCTAGAAGCTGCACGGCCTAGTTTTCCAGTCGGAGATGCTGCGAATAGGTTGGGGAGGCAGTACGGCGTTGTGGGGGCGACCGAGACTGACGACGAGCAGGGGACCGGTCGTAGCGAGGTCTGCTCAGAGGTGCTGCAGGAGCGGAAAATGTGGTCGGCGTTGACGGAGAAAGTGATGGGGATGACTGGGGAACAGAAGTGGTGTCATACTGAGGGGCATAATGGGACGGTGGAGCCCAACGGCTGCGGCAGTGACGAGCGATATGACCAACGCGTCGACAGTTAAAACATATGGGCCTGTCATCAAGAGTACGCCATTAGGACGGATTGCGTTGTATGCGAGGAGCAGAAGGGGTAAGATAAGAAGGCTCAGCAGAGTATACGGCAGGAACAGGATGTAGGACGACATTCGATAGCTCTTAACGAACGACCGCTTGTATTAAAAAGATTGTGGTCGGGGAAGGCGCAGGCGTCGGTAATGGCGTGGCTACCGGTTGTGCTGCCTCGACCTCTCGACGAATGATGCGTGTAAGGTTGTCACATCGAGGGGCCTGGTGGAAGGCGTCGTCACACGAAGAAGTGGCCGCTGTGTTCGGAAGGCGCACGATGCTTTGGGCTACGCGGCGGGCTTTAGCTTGTACTAGACGTCGGCATTCTTTAAGGATTGTGTCGATGCTCGAGACGTTGTTAAAAACCAGCAGGTTGAAAGCATCGTCAGCAATGCCTTTCAAGACGTGGTTAACCTTTTCGTCTTCCGACATGGACTGGTCGGCCTTGGAACAAAGGGCCAAGACGTCAAGAATGTAAGAGACGTACGATTCGGTAGAAGACTGGGTCCATGTGGCAAGAGTCTTCTTCGCAGCGAGCTGACGACCAGATGAATCACCAAACAGGTCACGTATATTTTCTTTGAAGAGATCCCAGCTCGTTATGTCTGCTTCGTGGCTTTCAAACTATGTTCGGGGAGTGCCGTCCAGGTAGAAAAGCACGTTGGCGAGCATGAGCGTAGGATCCCATCGGTGAGTAGCACTGACGCGCTCGTACCACTTCAGCCAATTGTCGAGATCGGTCGTACCATCACCGGAGAAAGTGCCAGGATCCCGGAGGTGCGGTAGTGTGACGTAGGTGGTGGCTTGGACTGATGAGGGCGGCGTAGAGGAAGTACCAGCAGTCGAAGCAGTCAAAAGGTCGCCGATGGTGCGACCGCTGCGCGTCTCCATCGAGGTACGGGGGTCATCCACCTCCACCAATAATGTTACGAGTAACTTGTTTAATGAGCTATTTACAGCGCAGAGAACCCGACGAGCAAGATGGCGTCAGACCATCATCCAACGGAAAAACCTACTTCGTCCTCCTCTTTCTTGCAGCCGTGTTTAGCGGCTGTTTTGTATTAATATTTTACCTGGGACGTATGGGTGCCGCCATCTTGGGCTTATGCTAAGCCAATGTTTTTTTTTTCTTTATATTGAGACGTGAATTAATATTGCCATGAGACATCGCATGCACCAGCACAACCATTTTCATTCATATGTGTCTACCGTAACATTGTTTGCTTCGTAGTTAAGGATGCAATACACGAAGGCCAACAGCCCAATGTGTCGGCACTGAAACCCATTTGTAAACCAGTCTGTACCGGGCATTTCGTTTTTAACCGAGAAATCCCGCACGCAGGACATCCCATCAAGATCCGGAAACGACACCGCCATAACAGCCTAGCCAGACCACACACAGACGACACTGCTCCATTGTTGCAACCTCAAGGGCTCGAGCAACAGCGCAGGATAGTGCAGACTTGTTTATACAGAATCATGGGAGCGCC